GTAAAATCAGATATTTTATCATAATGGTGTCTGATATCATTGTCACGCTCTTACTTTTGGGAGGAGCCCAGATGCAATGGCAAAGGCTGCCTGAATGAACCCCGGGCTGGATGGAGAGATCACATGCCCGGGATTCAACTGATCCCTAAGTTCAGGGCCAGCAAGGACCTCGCCCCTTCCATGCATACAGACTAGGGTTCGTGCACCTTCCCTTGCAACCCTGAGCAGGGTCAGCTGTAAGGTGCAGGTCTGTTTAGAGGGCATTGACCACTGTGATCATAATTTTAAAGTAGGTCAAATTTTGTATTTAAAGTACTTGTCCCGCGCCCGAGCCATGTTTCCGAAGAGCACTGCAAAACCAGGCTCTTGTGCATAAATGCAATGACCAGCTCAAACTTTTCGAGTTTAAAAAAAACTGTCCCTCGCATATTTAAACTGCTGCTTTCCATGTTTCTAATTTAGGAGTCTTTTTAAATGATAAAACCACAGCATTGTGGCTGGCCTGTGACTGAAGAATGTCTATTTCATTGTGTGTTTCTTTTCAAACCGTTTTTGATGGATTGTATTTCTTGAGCCTTCCAAAGGAAGGTGAAGCTGATACAAGGACTAACTAAACTCTTAAGTCATCCTCTCTGCCCATGCAGGGATAAGAGATTTCTGTGAGTTTTGTTACTTAACATCTGCAAGAACCCAGTGAAAGGTGCTGTCCGCTCATGGAGAGAGAATGGGTGTCTGTGTTTTATGCCACAGCTTCTTGCACCTCCTGTGAGCTGTGCTACATCAGATCTTGCTTTTGCGATCACAAGCTTTATTGCCTATCACACGGCACCTAAAAGCGAAGATGAAAACAGTTTCCAAAATCATTTTGCCTCTATATGTCTTCATTATTCAATTATGGTGCACTGGCTTCTGGGCATCTTGCAGATGCTGCAAAGCAAAACACCAATAGATTCTGCTACTCTATGTAGGGAGTAGGGTGACCAGATGTCCCGATTTTTGGGTCTTTTTCTTATATAGGCTCCTATTACCCCCCCACCCCCTGTCCCGATTTTTCACACTTGCTGTCTGGTCACCCTAGTAGGGAATAATAAAGCTGTCTGACCAATCATTCCAGTCCAGCATATGGGAGGTCGGGGGGGAGAAACCCTCTATCATCTAAGCCCAACATGAAGCAAATACTTGGCTGAAACTGCTGAAGGCTGGCAGACTCGGGCCGTGTCTACGCTCGAAGTATTACTGGTGTAAGAATACCAATAGACTATACCTACAAAGTGCTTCTAGTGTGGCTCCAGCTATACTGCTTTGCTCCAGTCGAGCAAAACCACCTCCACAAGCAAAACACGCTATACCCGTAAAAGCACAGCTTATAACGGGTCTACACTCGGGGGTTTTGCTGGGACAGCTATGTCCATCAGGGACTGCCCTCGCTGTTCCAGCAGAAATCCATAGCGTACCCACGGTCTCAGGCTCCAGTTGGCCACCTAAGAGAGCGTGATCTGTAGCAGGGGATCAACGGATCAGTCAGTGTGACAGTGGAGAGGGAGAGAGGTGGCCCCTAAAGCTGAGCAGTGTAATGAACGGGAGAGGAAACAGCGCTGCTAAGGCATCTCCTCCCTGAACGTCTGGGATAGTAGCAAGAGGGGAGCGTTACAAAAGAAGGGTTTCCTCACCACAGTTCCTCCCAGGCTGTTGCAACCTGTGCACCCAACTGAAACTCTAACTGGAATGATCCCCCTGTGCAGCCCTGAATAGGAAACAAGGACCGAGACCTGTGGGCAACGCAGACTGAGATGGACCGGTCCGTGCTGCAGCAGGAAGGGGAGGAAAGGGTTTCTCTCCTGTGCTGTGAGGGAGCGTACATGCTCTTTGCCAGGCACTGTGCCCTTGGGGTTCATTGCTGGCCTTTGCAAATGAAAACCACTTGTCTCTAGCTAAAAAGGTTTGGCTCTCCAGAGCTGGGAGTGAAAGCAGATGCTATTGGGAGCCCTTGTGAAACTACGAGGGAGGTTTGCAGTGTCATTGAATGGTTATGAGCAGCTTTTAAAGGGTAAGGAAAGAACTCAGCCCTCCCACACCAGTTGCGTCTCCACCATCTGATCCATGGACTAGCATTAACCTCCACTTGGAAGGTCACTGGAGAGAGAGTGTGCTGATCCTGCCACTGGGCAGAAGGTCCTGGCCCAATTGTATGTTAGTGGCGGTGGGCAGAAGGGATGAGATGTAAAGCTAGTGTCTGGCTGTTTGGATCTTTAGGGGATCTCATAGCATTTTTCACAAGAGTGAGGGCTGTTAACCCACATCCTGGCCAATTTTATCTCTGCCTACTTCAGCTTCCCCCCTGCATTTTCAGCTGGAAAGGAAATCCCTGTTTCACCCAAACCCAGCTGTTTAATGGTTTATTGGATACTGTTAAACAGATGCTGAGTTTCACCCCAGAAGTGGTCGCAACTCAGAAGGTGCCTACACTAAGCTAGGAAATGGTTGCAAGGACATCAGTGGGATGAAATGGCTAGTAGTCTCGCTTGCCCTTGTATAAGTGTTTTGGACATCGTCCAGGCACAGCACTCCTACCAGTGCTTTCTGGGACTCCTAAAGTACTAGCCCATAGTGCACATCATTGCTGCATAGAACATGCTCTCATAACCAGCCACTGCATTATGGGATGGAGTTAGCAGGACCAGCTGAACCGGTGCAGCTGCAACATTTGTGGCTTCCTGTCCCCATGGGGGAGAAATCACTGTCGATTACACAGCTTCAGAACAGAGTCAAAAGCCCTCGTCCTGTGTGCTGCCAACAGCTGGTACCGCCAGTGCTTTTCAAATGCCGGAGATGGCTGCTGTGTGGACACCACTCTGTGCCCGATCTGCAGAGGATATGAGTCTGCTACAGCCCCAGCTATGGAGCCTGTCCTCTTTAGCTCAAGCTGTAGCAACTCATGCTTTTAGCTTGGTCCCTGGAATGTCAGTCAAGATGGTGCTTATTATGCTTATGGGCAGTGAACGTGTGACGTGCTCCTGGCTAAAAGACACTATTTAAATGTAAGACCAAGCCCATCCTTATCTGCATACACACCACACATACATTAAATATATAGTAGCCAGAGCAACTAGTCTCTTTCCTTTGAGATTTCCTAGGCTGCTTTTCTTTCTGATTGTGGGGTTCTCTGGGTTCCCATCCTTCCCTCTCACACATCAAGTGAACAGGAATTCAGATCCTTTCGATAGGCCAGGGGTGGGCAAACTACAGCCCACGGGCTGGATCCTGCCCGCGAGCCGTTTTAAGCTGGCCCGCGAGCTCCCACTGGGGCGCCAGGTCGGGGGCCACACCACGTGGCTCCCGGAAGCCGTGTCATGGCCCCGCTCCAAGGATCAGGGGCCGCTCCACACATAGGAGCCGGAGCCGGAACATGCCTCTGCTTCCGGGAGCCGCTTGAGGTAAGCGCTGCTTGGAGCCTGCACCCCTGAGCCTCTCCCCACACCCCTGTCCCAGTCCTGATCCCCCTCCTGCTCTCCCAACCCCCTCGATCCCAGCAGAGCACCCTGCACCCCAAACCTCTCAGCCCCGCCCCAGAGCCTGCACCCCCAGCCAGAACCTTCACGCATTCCCGCACCCGTGCCCCAGCCCTGATCCCCCTCCGAACCCCTCAGTCCCAGCCCAGAGCACCCTCCTACACCCCAACCCCAATTTTGTGAGCATTCATGGCCCACCATACAATGTCTATTCCCCGATGTGGACCTCAGGCCAAAAAGTTTGCCCACCCTTGCGATAGGCATCTCTTGAAGGGGATGGCCGTTGCTGCCGTTAACTCATCTGTCTAGTAATTTGCAATCAGATAAACTGTTTGTGAGAGGGAAGAGTGCCGGTAAAACAAAACTTGTAACTCTGCTTCCAGTAACTAGAGAGGAGTTGCTTCTCTGAAATCTGCTCCACCCGGTCAGAAACCCCTGCTGGAGAACAGACATCTCAGCGCGTCCCTTTCCAGCATTAGGGAGGATAATTCCCTTTCCATTCCAGCAATACAGTGGGATGATTAACTGGATTAGCTCTTTCCAGTGGCCTCAGTACAGAGCTGAGCTGCAGAGACTGGAGTAGGCCCAGCTTGACCTCAATCAAACACGATCACCTGCACCCGAGCCACATTTCTTATTCCCCACCCCCTCTGATGCAGTGGGCTTTGGTTTGAAGACAGCTTCTGCTATTGACAAATTCACGGGAATGGAGTCTGGATGATTCTCTCCTGCGCTGCGTTTGAGTGTACAGTGAACTCCACCCTGTAAAGCCCCACAGCTGGCGTCACACCCTGGACCAGGACCTCAACACCACATCCTCGCCTTCGACACTGTGTGTGGCTCCGACTCTGCTTGCATCTTCACACGTGTTCCGTTCAGTTCCCCGTCACAGGCCCTGTGCTCTGCTCTCTCTCCCTGCTGCTCCCTTCTCATTCAGCCCCCACACCTGAAACAGCGTTTTACTTCCCACCCATTAACAATCGCCCCCTTGGGTTCCCACTCCTTTTGCAAAGCCTTCCCTGGTCCATCTTATCCCTGACAGCTCTGCTTCAGAGCCTTTCTTGTTTCAGTTGCATTGCCTGGGTCTGAGTTGAACTGTAAGATGTCTCCTTGGGTGTCTGTAAAGTGCCACATTCACCTACAACTCTCGATAGCTAATAATGTGAAAGAAACTGAGGATCCAGCCGTGGATCAGAGGAACGCAGCCTCAGTCCCTCCCCAATGCTAGACCCCAGATGGAGTCCACAAGCAGGGGAGAAAGTATAGCTCAAGATCTATTGAACGAGGCCCCTGTGCATTTCCGGTTGCTGTTAAAATGGTCAGGGTGAGATAAAGAGTGTGGTTTCCTCTGAGCATATGAACAAGGGGAGGGGCGGAGGAGGTGATGCTGGTGGGGAGGGCTGTTCAAGCCCAAATAAGCAGGGCTGTAGCTGTGTTCTCTGGGGCTTGGCCTCCTGCATCCAGCACAGACTTGCTCTGATCCACCCCAGCATGGAGTCCGTCAGCGAGATGCCAGCGGGGGACGGCCCTGGGGAGGACAGCAGTGACGTATGTGGTCTCTTTACTCTCATTTTAAACAGGTGTTTACATTGCATGCTATGCGTCTCTGATTTCATGCCTGGTGTTCTCACTTCCCCTCGCTCCCACTTTGCTCAGAGCTTGAGACGTTGCTGCACAGAGCTTCTTCTGGGGTTTAATTGTTGGCACACGGAGGGACTAGGAGGAGAGCCAGGGGCTACTAAGTCCTGAGGTTCCCCTGAGGTCCAAAATTGAGGGCTAAAGTCTCCAACCTAGAAGGAGATGAGAGCTCTCAACACCTTGGAGAAGGTGCTTGGCCCTATATGATCTGTGTCTACACTAAACGCTCTCAATCCTTCACCACTGCTGTAGCACTGTTGCTGCTCCATCAATTCTGGCAATCAGGGGCGCTCCAGTGTAGACTTCAAGCAGGTCTAGATTACCTGGTGGTAAAAACACTGCTGGCTGGTCTACATTAGCACTGCCACTGTGCCAAGCACCACTGGAGCGATAATGGTGGGAGATTAAGAAGAGAAACCTCATTGTAGTCATGGTTATTGAGTAGCAAGGGCAAAAGTGCCCAGTGAGAGATTGATGCGGGCAGGCACTAGGGCATCTGCACTATGCTTCTTTGCCAGAGATGTTCCACCGTTGCAATTCTACCAGTGAAGAAGGACATACTCTGAATATCATCCTCCACAGTTGAGGGCATCTGCCCTGGGATTGTTGATCCACCGTCTTAGGGTCCTTTTGGGCGCCTCACTGCTACTGTATTCCCAAGTAGCCCTAGCAGCTAAAAATACTACTTCCATCTGCAACAAGCCCAAAGACTGTACAACAGCTGATCCTACGCAGGCTTGATTACTGCAGCTCAAAGCCACGTGCTCTGGAAAAATCTCCCACTAGTACAAAACACAGCAGCCTATGTACTTCGTCGTAAAGGTTCCTGGGACCACATCTTGGTGCTATCTGCACTGGCTCCCCAAGCTAATCTGTCCTGATAATCAAAGCCCTCCATGGGATTGGCCATAGCTATCTGGCAGGTTGCCTCTCCCTCTGCAAGTCTGATTTTCCACATCAGGTATGTTCTGCCTGACCAATGAAACTGTCCACTAACAAGAGAGGCTCAGGAGTGCAGGAGACTTTCACAAGACCTGGACCTAGACTGTGAAACTCCCTCCCATTCGAGGCAAGACTGACCACAGGCCTCAGGACGTTCTGCACTAAATGCAAACTCTGGTTCTTCAGCTTAGCTTTTCCCTAATAATCTCCATGCACACACAAATGAGCAAAAGAACAAAAAACCAACCAACCCCAGAACAAAAACACCCTCTCAAATTAATCAAGCTATTTCTCCTATAGGCGGGTGGCAACGCTGACAGCCCCTAGTCATCGGCAGGCGGGATCGAACCAGGGGCCTCTGGAGCTTAAAGCATGAGCTAAAAGCCAACTGGCTGTTAGCTAAGGCTGTAGAGCAGACTCATTTGATCTCTCTTAGTGGTCTTGGTGCCACTAGCTGGGACAGAACACCACACCCAGGAGGTGTGTGGGTTACACTGGCAAGAAAGAAAGAGACTGTTGTTTCTATATGGGGGGCCATGAAAGTGTCGAGAAAGAGAGAGCGAGCCAAAAGCAGCATCTACCCTCCCCTCTTACAGTCCCGCTGCAGCCTACAACTGGGGAAGAAGTGGAACTGGGGTCCAGCAGATAAGGGATTGTATTGAGGAAGAACAAAGACCTTTCCACTTGTGCTTGAAACAGTGCTGCACCTGTGGCTCAGTCTGAAGGATGGTTGGAGGGCTGGGAGGCTTTTGATCCACAGAAACAGCTTGCGGGAGAAAGGTCATTACACTCTGCTTCCGGGGGAAGGACAATACTCTGTTTCAAGCACGGTGTAGGGGACAATATAAATGCAGTGTTTCCAAGACTGGAGGTGCTCCAAGGACCGGGAGGCTGCAGAAGCTGGAATGTGCTGCTTTTAGAGAGGATCGTTGCAAGCAGAGCTATTCAGGAACCAAAGAGCGAAATACAGCTTCCAGCTGTCTCCAGCTATTTGCCAGGGATAACCTAGCAGACTGGAACAACGGGGGTAGAAATGGCTTTCCCTCCCCCTATAGTTTAAGGATCAAATTCATCCTGGGTGTAACTACTGACTTCAGTCAAATACCCCTGGGATTACTTTGGCCCTAATTTTTGTATTAAAAAATTTGTTTCCATCTCTTTTTTCCACACAGATCCTGTAAGTAATGTAGCTATTACACCTCTGCCATTCCAGTGCTACTGAGCGCTCATCTGCCTCTGCCATGACTTAATAGTTCGCTCTTGGACCTTTCCTGCGCTGTGGGGGCTGCCTTTGGTGAAACTGAATGGTGGTTTTGTGATGTGCTATGTGTGTGCTGAGCCCTGAGCTAAAAGGAACACTCATTTCACTTGTGGCCTAAGGAAAATTTGAAACTGATCTCTTGCAAGGCGCTGTGATAATGCTTTTTCACACTGTCCTTTAACTGTCCCACGCCTGATTTCTTGTGCCTAGTCATTATGCTGCTGCGAGACTAATGCTACAGGTCACATGAGAATTTAAACCATACCATGTCCACTTAAAACATAACCTAATCACCCAGTTTGTGGTGGTGAAATCACCACTCATCAGGCGATGCTACGTGCTAGGAATGTGTTGCTCAGTTCTCGGGCTGTGGTTGAGTGAGTGAATACCTGTGAAATAAAGGCCCACTCACCTTCTGAGTTAACTGGGTGTGCACTAGCCCAGTGGTTCTCAACCAGGGGTCTGGGGCGCCCTAGGGGGCCGCAAGCAGGTTTCAGGGGGGACACCAAGCAGGGCCAGCATTAGACTCGCTGGGGACCAGGGTAGAAAGCCGAAGCCCCACTGCATGGGGCTGAATCCCAGGGCCCTGACCCCGCCACCCAGGGCTGAAGCCTACGCTATGTAGCTTCACGGGGGGCCCTGTGGCCTGGGGCCCCAGGCAATTGCCCTGCTTGCTCCCCCTAATGCCGACCCTGGCTTTTATATGCAGAAAACCAGCTATTGTGGCACAGGTGGGCTGTGGAGTTTTTATAGCATGTTGTGGGGGCCTCAGAAAGAAAAAGGTTGAGAATCCCTGCACTAGCCCCTACTACCAGGCAGAGAAGTCTTTGAAGAGAAATAACTTTGTGCTTGTGAGGACTTGCTGGTATCTTTGGCTTTGGCAGAGGAAAGGACATTGGCTGGAAAGGTCCCATTTTGTTTAGAGATGAGCTTGAGCCGCAAAGCTGGGAGCTGAACTTCCCCAAAGTTTGGGGGTTGTTGGGATCAGAAGTGCTGGTCCGACTCATTAAACAAAAAAAGGACCAGATCGATGCCCCACTTGGATCAGCTCCAAACGTGCGCCATGCTTGGGTGTTGTAGATCCAGAGCCATGTCTAATTTTTGGTTTTGATTGAATTGCTTTTTACATAATGCACAAAGTTAAGCAAGTTTTCAAAAATTCACCTCGCTGCAATATAGGATCCACCATGTTATCATGACCCACGTATTATAAAGTAAACAACGCTTGATACTAGAGATCAAACATTTTGTTGTTGTTCATAGCAAAGGTCAAATGTGTAACCTTCAGATGATCAGATACTATTATTACCCCTTCTCCATTAATAGGAGGCACCCATATATCAACAAGGAGCAACATAATGATGCTGTCTGGACAGTATTTCCTTCCTGGAAAACACAGTTAGGATTTATATGTCCTCTTGGCTTTTCTGTGTTAACTTTATAAACCCAAAACAACACTGTCTCAAAGGGAAATCACACTGACTGTGTGACATGACAATAAAATGCAAACATCATGGTGTTTCTAGGAAAACAAGCTGTACAGAGAAAGTGTGGGGGTTAGTGGCTCCTTTCTACAAATCTTAGCCATTTATTTGTAAAGAAGCCTCTAGTCACCTTGCGCCATAATCCCTGGAATTCCCCAAACCTTTATACCAAGAATCTCATGTGTCCTTTCTTTCATCATAAGAGCATAAGAACAGCCATACTGAGTCAGACCAAAGGTCCATCTAGCCCAGTATCCTGTCTTCTGACAGTGGCCAATGCCAGGTGCCCCAGAGGGAATGAACAGAACAGGTGATTCATGTCAAGTGATCCATGCCGTCCTCCACTCTCAGCTTCTGGCAAACAGAGGCTAGGGACACCATCCCTGCCCCTCCTTGCTCATCGCCATTAATGGACCTATCCTCCATGAACGTATCTACTTCTTTTTTGAATCAATCATGCATACTACTGACCTTCATAATGAATAGAACAAGATACTCATCTCCCACATAGCTCAAACGCCACATTAGCATCTCTCCTATTCTTTTGAATGTATCTGTCCCTCACCAGTAACTCCTGAACTGAGTCGAGATGTGTTTGCTCCAAGCCCGCACTCTTGCTCCTGGCGTCATTAATACTGGATTCCAAGGAACTGTCTGTAGCAAAGGGCTCTGCTGCCACTTTTGATCGGCTGCCATTACTGGCCTGGATAATTGAATTGGAAGAAATTGTCTCTTCCTCCTGATGGGGGATTTTTTTCTTCCCAGTGTTGAACAGCCACCTGTTTAGAATGGATATCTGTGTCCACATTAGCACCACCAGACTAGAATGTGAAACATTCAAAAGTACCAGGAGATCCCAGATCTCCTTAGAGAAGCATCTGGTGCTTCCGTAAAGGCCTTGCTTTTAACTGTACTGAACCCAGGACCTGAGTGAAGAATGTGCCGCACTCCCTAGGCACATAGGATTGGTCATACCAAATGACCATGTGTCCTTCAGCAGTGGCCAATATTTGAGGCTTCAGAGCTAGGGACACCAACCTAGGTGGTCAGTTCTGCTCTTCTGATGGTGAGTGTGGGGGGAGAGGAAATTCCTTCCTGAGGCAACAAACTGACACCTGAAAGCATGAGACTTAGGTCCTCCTCAACTTATCTTTCTTGGCTTGCCTAGTTACAAGTGTTTATTGGTCACAAAGTTATCCAGCCTTTTAAAAATGTATCTACAGACTTTGTCTCTGACACACTGCTGCCAAGAATTTCTCAGGTCAGTTATGCTCCTGGTGAAGGATTCCTGGGGGGTTGGGTCCTGTCACACTGTGGGCTTTCTCTCTCCAGGAGGGTGATCAACCTATCCCCAAACAAAAACAAACTACACTCTTCCCCTGTGTAGAGCAATGAAAGAAAGTCCTTCCCTCACCTGGGATACAATACAAGTTTGCAGTTATTTAAAATAAACGTTCTCTTTTCTTGGGAGACAAGTAGTATTTGCCCTCTCTCAAATCTCTCCACTAGCTTTCCTTCTCCTTTCATACCCAATGGTTGCACCTGCTTTAGGTTACTGAGCCCAGCTACACGTGCTCCACACCCCCTAACTGTCCCCTGTCTGCTTCTGCCCCTTGCAGAGTTGACCGGGGAATGGAGGGATGAGCTGGGGCTGACTAGGGGATTCATGGGACCTTGTTGGGTAGTATGTCCCAGTCCCCCTCTCCTGCCTTTCCCCTCCAAGTGCCTCCCACTGCCCCCTTGAAATAAATCCATTGGGTGGAGCTGCTCTGATAGGGAAAGTGCTGCACAGTACAGATGCCAAGCAGGAGGAGTATTTTGTTAGACGCCCCACGCCTCGTCGCCACACCAAACCCTACTGGGTCGTGCAGAACCTGCCTGTATCCCTTGTTAAACTGAAACCTCAGAAAGGTTTGTTCTGCCTGCCGTGAGGGAAGGGTGTAAGTTTCTATTTTGCTGTTTCTCCAGGTGTCTCAGTTGTATGGTGCAGGGCTTTTGTTTACTCGCCCACGCTGAGTGCGAAGTGGCTGGGTCTTTGTAAGTTCCGGTGAGGCGCGACTGCCATGCCTCTGATTTGACGTGGTGGAGGTGCTATGCTGAGACCTTCCGGACCAGACTATCGAAGCTTGAACGGCTGTGTTTAGTGCAGGGGCGCTCTGATGGGCACACTGCTCGGGCTCTATGACTTCATGGACCACACTGTGTATGGCCCTGCCCATCTGCCTGTGACATTCTGTTGGCATTCTGTCAAGGCCCTTTACAGTGATATGAACCCCCAGTGAAGGGGCTGTTGTCTAGACCCATGACTATCCCTCAAAGAGTTGTGAGTACAGCCCTAAAGGCACCTCTTCAAAGCCCTGTGTAGTGAGGTGGCCCTCCTGTGATGGAGCAGTTAGTTGTCTGGCAATGATTCTCTGAACAGCACCTGTAGGCCCTGGAGGGTTGAGATTTTCCAAGAGGGTGTGTAACTATGCCAATAGACCATCTGACCAGTGGTTCTCAAGGTCTTCCAGGGGTACCTCAACTCATCTAGATATTTGCCTAGTTTTACAACAGGCTACATAAAAAACACTAAGGAAGCCAGTACAAGCTAAAATTTCATACAATGACTTGTTTGGATTGCTCTATGTACCATACACTGAAATGTAAGTGCAATATATTCCAGTTAATTCATTTTATAATTGTGTGATAAAATGAGAAAGTAAGCGATATTTCATTAATAGTGTGCTCTGACACTTTTGTATTTTTATGTCTGATTTTGTAAGCAAGTCGTTTTTAAGTGAGGCGAAACTTGGGGTATGCAAGACAAAGCAGACTCCTGAAAGGAGTCTGGAAAGTTGAGAACCGCTGATCTAGAAGTACAGGCTATGCATGTGCTTGAGCCTCTCCAAAATAATCTGTCGCAGTTCAGGGCACCTGCACCTGTATTCTCTCCTCTGTGGTCCACCAAGGGCATCCACTCTTAGGCTTCTCACTCCCCGGCCATTACCTCTCTTGGGCAGAGTCATGTGTCTCTCTCCCTGCTGACCGGGTTATTTTCAGGCTTCACAGTTCCCTGCCTACACTGTGAATTCCCCAGCAAGTTAGACTGGCTAAGCAAGCCTGCTTTGCTTCCCTTTCTCGGAGGTTATAAACAGCGTAATTGCCCACAGTTAAGTTACAACACAGCTCTTCCTAAGCAAGCACATTTATTTTTAAGGTAAAAGCATCCTAGAGAAAACATTAAAAACAATCAAAGAACCTACATGTATGGTAATAAGCCTGCCAGAGATCATCCCCAGCTCCAGCAAGGGCTCCGGCAGGTGATCAGCCCTTCAAACGCTACCAAGGGGGTTTTCTGTGGTCACAAGTTAGGGTGACCAGATGTCCCGATTTTACAGGGACAGTCCCGATATTTGGGGCTTTTCCTTATATAGGCTCCTATTACCCCTCACCCCCTGTCCCGATTTTTCACACTTGCTATCTGGTCACCCTATCACAAGTTCATTACAGCTCAGAACAAGCACCTCCAGGAATGGGTCACGTCCTTCTAACCTGTCCCAGGGAGGAATGGGGCCTCCCTTGTACAAAAGCTTCTGCCCTTTTGCTGGATGCAAAAGCAGGGCCTGAGTGAGTTTAACTCAGGCTATTTATCTAAAAGACCTTTTTTTGTCTGTTAGTTCTCTAGAGACTCTGGTTTGAAGCAGTATATGCGAGCCTCTCGAGTGTTGGCAAAAAGAACAGGAGTACTTGTGGCACCTTAGAGACTAACAAATTTATTAGAGCATAAGCTTTCGTGGGCTACAACCCACTTCTTCGGATGCCTCTTGGGAGGTGTTAAACCTGAGTGAATTTGCCTAACCACCCCCCTGCTGTCCTAGCGCCTGAAGGGCTGTGGTCCCCCACCCCTAGGGAAGTCCATATGATCCCTGGCTCACAATGCTACCGTGCACTTAACACAGCTATTGGAGGAAGTTAATGCATCTGTCACAATCTACATGTCGTTTTTAAAAGCATGCAGAGAGGAGAAGGAAGCACCCGTGGCCTTGTTGCATTCTCAGAAAAAACATCTGATGAAAAAACGGTTGTTACGCCATCAAAACTGAATGGAAACGTGTCTCTGTCTTTCTTGTTTCTTCTAGATGGACCTGTCCCACCGATTTTCCAGGCGAGAGGTATGAGTCTGGCATTGTTTCTTTAATCAATGGAGTGTTGGTGAAAGGGTTGGCAGCCCTACATATGGACGTCCTTTTTTCTATCCATATAGACAGGCAGTGGCAATGCAAGCTTCCCTGCAATGTGCCTTAGCACAGGTTCCAGCCTTATGGAGTACTTACTAGTCCTCTGTGGAGACTGCCAACAAAGACGCTGATTAGTGGCAATTGCCATGTTGACAAAACACCTCTAGAACTAGGCTTGATTATAACAATGTCCAGTTGCTACCAGCCTGCTCCGGCTTCAGCTATTCCCGCTAGCAAAGCACTGGGAAGTGCATTGCTGTAAAAGCTGCCCGAAAGCAAGTGTGTTCTACTGAGCATGGGTCAGTGCTGAAGGGGGAGTATAACAGGCTTGATTTGAGGCATGGGATAACATGGCCAGGAGCTTTCTAGACAGTATGTCCTGCTGCTTATTCTGGGCAGCAGACGCAATTTGTGAAAGGAGAGCAAACACGTTTCCCCTTGTGTTTTATGGAGGAAACATTTAACAGTACAATCCATGCACACACCCCCACCCCGCCCCAGAAAAGACATCATCCAGCATGCCGGAGACTAGCTCACACAATGTCTAGTAGAGGAGCTGACTGTCACCTGTCACCCTCTTGCCCTGCAGCTCAACCTCTTGTACGAGGAGGTTCTCTACACCATCCTGCACCGCCAGGGCAAGCCCGAACCCACTTATGTTGCCGATGCCGATGAATTGTACGAGTATGTGCAAAAGGTCAGTCCCTGGGCCCATCCAGGTCAAGGGAAAGTGCATGTCCTGCAGCTCCTTGAAACCCTGCCCTACGTTCCTGTCCTCTTGCTATCCTGCGATCGGACGGGGGCTCGCTCTCTACCTCTAGCCTGCAAAACTCCCTCAGTCCCACATTGGGAAGAGGCCCCCTCCATGCCCCAACCCTGGAGTTCCCTCTGTCCCACACTGAGCGGGAGTTCTTCTCGCCGTATTTCAGATCCCTGCAGCTGCTGGGGTTGCTCTGCAGAGCAGGAATAAGGCATGAATCTTTTCTCCGAGCTCCTGCAGTTCGAGGGGCCCTGCTGGACACAGGCGTGAGTCATAGTCAGAGCAGCAGTCAGCAGCACAGAGCAGCATGAGTAACACCAGCCAGCTGCCTGAGCAGGGTCGCAGGAGGGTCGGGTACCTGGGAGTGGGAGGAAAATAATAACCACAGGGAAGGGGAAGGGCAGCAGAGTCCGCTCAGGGGCTGGGAGCGGAAGTGCAGCTGAGAGGAGCAGTCTGGCCGGGAAGAAGCCATTATCTAGGGGAGGGACAGGCTAGGAAGTCTGTCTGGACTGTGCCCAAGTGTTCATGAGTCTGGGTCCTGATTAGGCTTAATTTAAGCTGTTCTCTCCTTTCCCATCAAACCCTTTGTGAGTGCCAGCTGGCTCCCAGAGGAAGGGAATAGTGGTTCCAGATGGGAAGCCCTTGGATGTATCCCAGGTCCCATTGTTATAAAGCCAACCCTATATCTTCTGTAATATTTAAAACAGGCCTTCAGCATGGACCCGGAGGAGCATCACGTTATACTGCAGCGGGTCAGAGACTTGGAGGTAAAGTCTGCTCATCTCCCCCAGATCACACCACCCATAAGTGGGGGCATTCTCCGTACATTTCTATTCCGCAGTCTCCTGCAATGCCAGCAGAATTTGTGCCGGGTCACTTCTCCCTGTGGGCCCAGGCCAGGTAAAACTCCCATTGAGTTCAGCAGGGTCAGCTCGTGTGTGTACATGAATGTGTGATAGATACAGGCATCATCCCTTAAGTGTGTGCCCGCCCCAGGGCAGCGCATCTGTAGCAAGAACTCAAGGGATTCCCCATTCTACAGAGTGGTAACATGTTCAGGTGACATGGCCGTGTGTATCTATAGCCTGCACACGTGCTACTGACCTCAGTGCTTCAGTTATGTGGAACAACATAGAGGCTAGGTCAATGCCAGAGATATGTTTAATATGGATATCCCCAAGGATTGGTCCTAAACCCTGTGCCCTATTTAGGTAGGATAGCAGCTGGTTAGCTAAGGGCCGGGTGGACTATCCATAATCCAAGTTTGTCCCTTGATACTGAAAGTCATTGCTATCAAATCCGGATTAAAGTCTTATGTTTTGGGGAGCAAGGAGGGAAACCAACCAGCCAGGGTGAGATTCTGGAAAGAAGTAGGTGACTTATATGGGATGATCCCCCACCTGTCAGCTTTTGTCCCCTCTGCCAAGTCTGTGGGGCTGAAAGACCAGTTATGAAAAGGAGATAGGAGCCAGACCGTGGGAACGACTGCACAGGACCTGGAGGTGAAATTTCCAGCTCAGGAAGATGAGCTAGCGCGCTAAAAGCAGAAGTGTAGCTGTGGCGGTGTGGGCGGCAGGATGGGCTGGCTGCACCGCATACAGTCCTGCCTGGGACCCGAGCCCATCCCACTGTCCGAGCCATGGGAGCTACACTTCTATTTTTAACCTGCTAGCACGAGTATGTCGACCTGAGCTGGAAGTTACATCTCCAGCTTCGGTGTTGACATACTCACGAGGCATGTTCCCTCCCACTCGGTGCTCCTTAGTGGAATTACAGAATGCAGCCTGGTGGGCAGCAGCAGCTCTGTCAGGAGCCATCTCTGCTGCCCCCAGGGGAGGGAGTGGATGCTGGAGGAGAGAGACCCTCTGTGCACCTGGCCTGGAGCTGAGGAGCAGGGTGGCTCTAGCTTTTTTGCCGCCCCAAGCACGGCAGGCGGGCTGCCTGCGGCGGCTTGCCTGCGGGAGGTCCGCCGGTCCCGCGGCTTCGGCGTACCCGCCGCCGAATTGCCGCTGAATCCACGGGACTGGCGGACCTCCCGCAGGCAAGCCGCCGAAGGCTGCCTGACTGCCGCCCTTGCAGGGACCGGCAGGGCGCCCCCCGCGGCACGCGCTTGGAGCGGTGGTGCCTGAAGCTGCCACTGCTGAGGAGTTGGGGGCAATATTTCCCATAAGTCCCTTGTCCTCAGATGCTTTCTTTGGCCTTGCCCACTCTACCGCATATTTCCACGGCTCCCATGGGTGGAAAAGGTGACTGAGCAGCTTCCTCTTTAGTCCCTCGGAAGTTCCGTGACTAATCTGTTCCCCTCCGTGCAGAGGTGGGAGAGGATCAGGGCTCAGAAGCAATTGAAAGTATTGTTGGTTGGGTTTGGTTTTTGTTTCTTGAGAGAACTTTGCCACCTCTCTCAGCACTGACCTCTGACAGCAAAAAGAAATAGCTAAAGAGAGTCACACGTGGTGCTGAGGGGATCTGTCCGTCAGCAACTTTCCAGTCATATCCTTAAAAGGGATACTGTCAACGTCTGAACACGTTGTGACCCTGCTGCTTGTTTAGGTCCAAACTTTGGTCTTCATGATTGATGCAGTCTGGGAGGTAATGTGTGCTAGTGGTTGAAGGGGACTGGCAGGGTCACAGGTCAGGAGGTTATGCTATAAAGACAAGCCTCTGCTTATTTACAGTACTTTGTGCGCTTGACAGCACAATGTATGGTCAGTTTCACTCTTGGTCAGTGGTCAGTTGCATTTCCTACACTGCTCTGAAGGGGCTGCTGTGCATCAAGGGGAGGGCTTGGCGAGAGGGTAATTGCCACAAAAGCTGAATCAGAAATGGCAGCAGGCAGATGTGTACAGAGAGGAAGGAAGGGGAGAGCTATGCTTGATGTTTGCCTTAAACTCCCAGCTTCTGGAGTCACGTGATTATGTGAGAATCAGCTTTCATTTTTTTAAAAAGTAAGTTTCTAGTCCTCCTGGTTGTGGAGAAATATGACCTGAGTGCTCCATAAAAGCTAAAAAAAAACAGAAGGCAAATTAAAAAAAACCCCTCTAAATTTATTATTTTAAAAAGATCTTTTCTCAGCCATTTTCTCATGATTTTTTGGGGCCTGATATTTGAGTGTGTGGGGTTGGCAATAGTGAAACTGTGTGCTGCTTCCTTGTTTTATCATGGGGTTTACAAATAAATCGAACACACATTCACTTCTGTGTATGATGGAGATTTTTCCTTCAGGTGAGATGAGGTAGGTTTTTTTGTTTAATTCCAGAAACCTATTTTTTGTCTGAAAGTGACTGTGAAGCAAGCCAAAGGCATTCTGGGTAAAGATGTCAGTGGTAAGTGTGATTACATGTATGACACACATACATATGTACCTGATTAGAGCAGGGGACTGGGACCCAGGAGATCTGGGTTCTGTTCTCACATCTGCTGTCTGACCTTGGGCAAGTTGGTCGCCCATCTGTGCCTCAATATCCCTATTTTTAAGATGTGATGTGAGGATTAATTAATGTTTGTGAAGCGCTTTGAGCTCCTCAGGTTGAAGGGGCCCAGTGCAAAGTATTGTTATCATTGTTCACTCCCCCGCGAGAGGCAGGCGGACCTTGGTACAAAGGGTGGGTGTTGCATTTTGTCACAATAGATAATTCTGTTGGAGGAATATTTTTTTTTTAATACCTTGTGGTTGTAGGGTTCAGCGACCCGTACTGCCTGCTGGGGATAGAATCAAAAAGACAAGAGCCTGCCAGCGACAGCAGCTCCCATCCGGAGAACAAGAAGCCATTAAAGGCCGTGGTGAAAGACATGATCCCCGAAGACCAGACCCACCGCACCCAAGTCATAAATCAAACTCTCACTCCTGTGTGGAATGAGACATTTATACTGTAAGTCTTCCCCCTTGTCCCTTCCTTTCCCTTCTCTGCTGCCACAGCTGTCTCCTCTCTGCTTGCAAGGACCATTGGCAAGGAATCTAGGTCCAAAGTTTGGTCTTTGTGATTGACATAAACTGGGAGGTAACGTTGCTAGTAGGTTGTGAGGGGTGGGGGGACTGGCAGGATTACAAGCCAGGATGCTGTGCTATAAACACAGGCCTCTGCTTGTTGGAAAGAGCAGAAGCTCCTGTGTTGTTTTAGCCTGGTAAAGAAATTGGAGACAGTGGAAAAGTGAGGTGCAATGATCTCTCAGGGTATGTCTACGCTGCAAAACCAAAACACCCCTGGCAATGAGTCTCAGAGCCTGGGTCTACAGACTTGGGCTCACGCTCCAGCACTAAAAATAGCCATATAGACATTCCTGCTCCGGCTGGAGCTCAGGCTCTGAGACCCAGCGAAGGGGCTGGGCTATTTTTAGCACCGTAGCACAAGCCCCATGAACCCAAGTCTGTAGACCCAGGCTCTGAGACCAGCTGATGTGGGGTTTTTTAAATTTTTGAAGTTGATACGCCTCAGTGGGCATCTGGCTCTTGTCCAGCAGGCCTGGTCTATTGCAGGGATTAGACTTCCTTGGATCTTCTATGAATAATTTTGCCTTGTGTCTTCCATATTTGACAGCCTGGGGGCTCTTTCTAGTATTCTTGGGCAAACCAGAAAAATCTGAAGGTAATCAGCCAAAGGCCTGCCACCACTCTAGGAATCAGAACACAAACTGAGGACCTGGAGCATATTGTCCATCCATAAACCTGGGAGTGCCCCGAGTGAACTAGAGAGCAATTGTGATAGCCCAGCTGTAATAACCAGGGTTTTCAGGGGCCTGACTCGTCTTCATTCATTGACACAAAGCTACACCCCAGCCCTAGACTGTTTCTAGCTTGTGGTGGGGGCGGGGGGGCTGCCTGCCTTTAATCTCTCTCTCCTTCACCCTCCCTTCCTAATATTTGTGGCCTGAGTGCAAATGCTCTCAAAATCCCAGCAGTAACGTTTTCTGATTCTGTGTCCTGCAGGGAGTTTGATGATGAAGCAAACGCCAGCTTCCATCTGGACATGTGGTGAGTGTGATCGAGCGTATGCACCCATGCCGACTTGGGACTGAAAACTCAAGACCGGTCTGTGTGGAGAGAGCCTGCTCTGAGACAGGGCTCTGAGAGCACTACTCCTGCAGCCTGCACCCTCACAGATCCCTGTGTGGAACCCCAGTAATATACACGGGTCCCAGTCCTCCACTGCCATTGGCCGCACACTGTCCTTTACGCCTGTGGAAAGTGAGTGCGCTGTGCCGTCGGATCAGAGGAGTTGCATTCTGCAGTCACTTTGCACAGGTGGAAAGGGTTCCACGAGGTGAAAGGCAACAGAGACTCCAGCCCTGAATTTCTATGTCAAGGTTCTAGGAAGGAGGGAGGCGTCTGAGGGACAAGGAAATAAAGCCAGGTTTCCGTTCGCCCCAACCCCTGTGCCCTGGGTCTGTGTAATCTCTACAAAGGTGATGTGCCCGGGCGTCGTCAAACTGGGGCTTGTGCCCTTTTGCCTTCTTTCTGATGGATGAGGATGGCCTTGGAGGCGGGGCGGGGGTGGGGAGTTGAGGCTCCCTGCCACACTTGTTGCAAGAACTCTGCAGCTCTCGCATCTAGCATTGCAGGGTTTTATACCGCCCCCAGCACTGCACTGTATCTGGGCATCATCTCTCCTCCCCAAACTCCTGATTTTTTCCCCCTTCTGTGACTTTCCTCTGGTCCGGTGGAGTCCGTGTGTTGGGGGCCTCTCCCTTAGTCCTGACTTTGACCCCGCGGCTCCCTGGCAAACTAACGTTAATGATGCATTTTTCAATGTGCCCCCTCCTCACCTGCTGTGTTTCTGACCCTCCCCGGCAGGGACTTGGACATGGAGGAATCCGTGCGGCATAAGCTGGGAGAGCTGACAGATCTCCATGGCCTGAAGAGGTCGGTACTGGGGAGTGGGTGGACGGGCTGTCAGTCACCCTGCTCTGTTAGCAGTGCACGCACTTGGCTTGAATGCTGCTCTGAGTGCAGCGCTGTGAGGTCCTTGTTCAGCATGCTCTTGGGAGGCTCCCCTGCTGAGTTTGGGTGGTCGGCGTCAAACATTCGCTTTGCTGTGCTGTAGGCATGGGAGCAGCTCACACGCTCACCATCCCCTCCTGTGGAGATTTGCTCTTTGACCCCGGTGTCCTGTTCTTCACACTAGTTAATCCTTATCTGCCGCAGTAATGTTTCCTCTGGGGGGCTAGAATGGGCAGCCTCCTCTGAGCATGGCGCTCCACTGGAGATGTACCAGGAATGTCCTTAAAGAGAGATGCAGATAGTTTCCTTTCCCAGCCCAGCACCAAATAGGTAACTACAATGATGGGCCTGATGTACTCCAGCCTGGGATCCTGGTATCTGCTGTACTGGAGTAACAAGACCCAGCGTGCAGACCGCAAGAGACCAGGGCACATGGAGATGAAATTTGGATGTGGCAAGGACTCTGATCGGTGATGAACGCCTCCTTGCTGGGCCACAGCCTCCTCTTCCTACTCACAGTTCTGCCGTCATGTCTCTGTGACAGGTGTACCACGTGTCCTGGCTCATGTGCATGTGTTAGCCAACATGGTCACAGAACCCATGCCTGGTTAGCTGTGTCCACACTGGCACCGCATCTACCTGTGGCTGGGACAAGGATTTCTGGGGGCGTATCCCAGAGTTCATGGCTCCTCATCAACTGGAGCCTCTCTAGGAATTGTTTTGTGGTGTGTTGTGGAAGAACTTGTCTGTCTTCCCTGGACCCCTTTGTAGAAATGGCTTTAGCCCTCCCACACCTTAAGCTGAGGCGCTTCTGGCTCTGCACGCTGCTCACTTCTGTCCCTCCCTATCCTGGGACAAGCCATGGGTCTGTCAGGGGCCAGGTCAGGGCTCAACACACACTCTGCCCCATACCTCAAAGATGGGCACTCAAGCGCGCTACAATCCCAGGCGCTGACTTTCCAATGTGCCGGGGGGTGCTTGACCCTCAGCTCTTCCCCAGGCCCTGCCTCCACCCACCCCTTCCCCCAAGGCTCTGCCCCACCTCTTCCCACCCCTGCTCCACCCCCACCCCGCCTCGTTCTGCCCCCTCCCCCGAGCGCGCTGTGTCCTTGCTCTTCCCCCCTCCACTCTAGAGCCTCCTGCGTGCTGCAAAACAGCTGATTGTGCTGGGTGGGAGGCATGGGGAGAGCGGGGAGGTGCTGATCAGCAGGGCCCACCGGCGGGAGGCACTGGGGGGGGGAGGAAGGTCTGCCAGTGGGTGTTCAGCACCCACCATTTTTTCCCTGTATGTGCTCCAGCCCTGGAGCACCCACGGAGTTGGCACCTATAGGTACAATGCTCCTCTAGATGCACCTTTGAGAGCTTTCAGTGTGGATTATAGGGGGGTTAGGCGAAGGCAGGCAGCTAGCCTGCAGTGTAGGCATGCCCGTAGTGACATAGAGCCAGTGGTCTCCAAATTCCTGACTTCCAGGGGCACCTGGAGGACCAGGGGCTCATGTCTTGGGCCACAGCTCATCTGCATAATAAATTGCTCAGTTTGCATAATATTCGAATGGAAAATGAGTATCAACCACCACTGAGTGTTTATGATCTCTGCACCCAGGCTGTTTCCGGCTCTACAGGCACTTTGCATCCACCAATGTTGAGAAGGAGATGCTGAGAAAGTGCCTTATCATTTGCTTCCCTAGTTTAGCAGGTCACTTAATTTTGGTGCTGAGACTCCCAGGTGAAGGAGAGAGGGTTTTGCAGAATCATAGAAACAAGAGGGAGACAGGCAACAAAAATTATTATCGGCATGGAACAGCTTCCATATGAGGAGAGATTAAAAAGACTGGGACTGTTCAGCTTAGAAAAGAGATGACTAAGAGGGGGATGTGATAGAGGTCTGTAAAATCATGTCTGGTGTGGAGAAAGTGAATAGGGGGAAGTGTTCTTTACCCCTTCACACAACACAAGAACCAGCGATCGTCCAAGGAAAGTAATAGCAGGTTTAAAAAACATAAGGAAGTATTTCTTCACACAACACACAGTCAGTCAATGGAACTCTTTGCCAGGGGATGTTGTGAAGGCCAAAAGTATAACTGGGTTCAAAAAAGAATTAGATAACTTCATGGAAAATAGGTCCATCAATGGCTCTTAGCCAGCATGGTCAGGGACACGACCCCATGCTCCGGGTGTCTAAACCTGTGACTACCAGAAGCTGGGACTGCACGACAGGGGATGGATCACTTGATAACGTCCCTGTTCCTCATTCCCTCTGAAGCACCTGGCATTGGCCACTGTAAGAAGAAAGGATACTGGGCTAGATGGACCATTGACAATTCCGGGTCAGACCATCTGTACATTCTTCTGTTCTCTCCAATCACACCCGTCTCCTGGGCCCAGTGCAGGATTGGCCCCTCCAGTGCATTGCACAGCCTATAGATGTTTTACATTCCCAGGAAAAGATTTTCTCATTTCACCCAGCTGATTTATAATTTCCTTTCCAGGATGTTTAAGGAGGCTCGGAAAGACAAAGGGCAGGATGACTTCCTTGGGAACTTGGTTCTTCGCTTGCAGGTGAGCATGGGGATGTAGGCTTATAATGCTCTGTCGTTCTATAGCATCTTTCCTCTGAGAATCTCAAAGCATGTCACAAGCATTAATTAAATCTCACAGGGGTTGGGCAGCCCTGTAATCCCCATGTGACAGAAAGGTAAACTGAGGTCTGCAAAGCCAATCAACTGCAGAGCCAGTAATAGAACCCAGGTCTCTCACCAATGGACCCTATTTCCTTAAGGAATTAATGACTAACCGGGGCTGCTGGCCTTCGCTATTTCCCCCTTCCCCCCAGGCAATCATCAATCCCTCAGGCCAAGGTAATTCTAATGTAATTCTCAGCTATCTCGTAAATAAGCAAAGACTTATTGGTCATGCTCAATGCTGTGATGTACAACAGCTTTGCTGCTGGTGGATTTTGTATTGAAAAATTAGACTAATTTAGGAAATAAGGAAAAGTGCCTCCAGCCCATGGGTCATTTTTTAAATTAAGTATAAATGTTAATTGTCTAATATTACAAATTCCTGCCGTATTAATGTGATGGATCCTATTAGCTGAATGGGCATCCCCCTACCGCTGACGCTCCGGTGTTTGACAACCATCCATCCGTCTGTCTATCTACAGGACCTGCATTGCAGGAATGACCACTGGTACAACCTGGAGCCCCGGACAGAAACCCACCCCGACCGGGGGCAGTGCCACTTGCAGTCCCTGATGACTCACAAGAAGGTAGGAGGAGCTTTTCGTGAAGGGAGGAGGTTAAACAGGAACATGAGGTTTGTGGGTTGCTTGCCAGGGCTATATCAGCGGGGCCGGTCCTGTCGCTGCTCCGGAGGTTACAGAGGTGTAGAAGGCCCACAGGCTGCTGTAGTGACGAGGAGTGGGGAGTTCATTCTCTTGTATCCTATTTGTTCCATTTTCTCTTTGGCACTCTCTAGCACAGGGGTGGGCAAACTACGGCCTGTGGGCCACATCCGGCCCGCGGGACCATCCTGTCCGGCCCCTGAGCCCCCAGCCCCTCTCCTGCTGTCCACCCTCCCCCGCAGCCTCAGCTCACCATGACAGCAGCGTGGCTGGCTCTGGCCAAGCCCCCCCAACAACAGGGGGCCCCAGGGCCGGGCACTCGGGCAGCTCAGCACCGGCGCACCCCTTGCAGGGCGGGGGGGGCTGCACTGCGGGGGCAGGGGAGCAGGCGGGTGGTGCGGGTGGCGGGAGCTTGGGGAACGCGGCCGGAGGACTCAGGAGGAGCGCCGGGCGGCCGCACAGCCGGCCGGAGAGAAGCGGCGCTTTGAAGGGGAAACCGCCACTTCTCTCCGGTTGCGCGGCTGCCCCTGCTCCTCCTGAGTCCTCTGCCCATGTTCGCAGGGCCGCATTCCGTAAGGAGCTAGGGGGTATATGGGGGGGAGGTTCCAGGGGGGCGGTTAGGGACAGGGGGTCCCGGGAGGGGGCGGTTAGGGGACGGCGGGGGGGTTGGATGGGGGTGGGGTCCCGGCGGTGGTCAGGGGCGGGGAGTCCCGGGGGGGGTGGTCAGGGGACAAGGAGTGGGGGGGTTGGATGGGTCGGGAGTTCTGAGGGGGGGCAGTCAAGGGGTGGGAAGTGGGAGTTGGCGGATGGGGACAGGCTGTTTGGGGAGGCACAGCCTTCCCTACCCGGCCCTCCGTACCGTTTCGCAACCCCGATGTGGCCCTCGGGCCAAAAAGTTTGCCCGCCCCTGCTCTAGCATCTCCATGGGTCCTCCCATGATAAAGGTCTATATCTCAGCATCAATGGTGCCTGGTGATTAAATACCCTGAAACCAGGGCACTTGGTTTAACTCTTCCAGGAGGCAGTGTCAAACCTCCCACAAAGGATGTGGTCGCTTGGATACGAACCCAAAGTCCTGCCATTAAACAAGGGACCTCTAAATCCGGCTCCAGGTTTGTTGGATGTTGGGTGTCCTGTGGAGACGTGCTCCCTTCCATCTCACGCTCTGAGCCGTCTCCACGCTTTTGTTTCTCTTTTCAGAGGGCCACCTCTTTGAGCAAGACCCAGCCGAGTTACACCGTCCATCGCCACCTGTTGCAGCAGATGGTGCTCTATGAGATCCTGCAGCACCAGGTACATGTGAAGCCAGCAAGGGTCAGGGAAGCTGGTGGGAGCCGGGGGAGGACTGAATTTCATGCTGCAGTGCAGATGGCTCGGCTTGTGTCTCTCTTCAGAGCCGTTGGGTGTATCCCAAGAGACTTTCCAAAGCGATGAGTTACCCCCAGCGGTGCAGGCATCCAACACAACAGCCTGTGTTACTGAGAAGGGACATGCTGTGTAGCACACTGGGATCTTTAACGTCCACCTGGGACAGGCAGAAGGGGGCCTTCCTTTGACATCTCTATTAAATGACCTTGGTTTCTATGGCAATTGTGTGAGATGACATGAAACCTGGACCAGTGCCAGCCGATCTGCAGCCCTATTCCTCACTCTTGCAACAACTACTTGACCCAGCACTTTCCATTACCTTTCCAGTAAGCTCATCCCTCAGGCTGAGCCTAGGGGTGTCTGAACCGTGTGGGTATTTGCGGGGACTGATGCAATGACCATGTGACATGTGAAGGGCCCATTCTAGAGCTTGAGAGAGGAGGTGGGGCAAATGAAAGCCAAGTACAAATCACAGGAGGATCCAAATTCTATGGCTGGCTCTAGGAGACTCTTCTCTCTTCTCTTCTGCGGGGCAGGATTAACTCTCTCGCTCTTTTCTTCCCCTTACAGGCCGGGAGTACTTCCTGGGATGGGGAGCTGAGTAAACATGCCACCACTATCCTGTACCTACACGCCGCTCAGAAAGACCTGTCTGACTTTCACCAGGTCATGGCGTAAGTACCACATGCACTCGGCAAGTGTTGTATAATGATTATGGCAACGGCGTCTGGGAGTTAGGAGACCTGGGTTCTATTTCCAGCTCTGCCACTGATTCTGGGTGACCTTGGGCAAGTCCCTTAACCCCTCTGTGCCTTTGTTTGTAAAATAGTAATAACACTGCGCTATTTCGCAGGTATGTGAAGCCAGACTATGCTTAGTGATGTGCTTTGAAATCACCAGATAACAAGCACTATGGAAGTACAAAGTATAGCATTCATATTATTAGTTTTAAACTGCAGATGCTCACACCTGCTGCCTGTGGCCGGATCAGTAGTCTGACTTCCTTGCTCTTCTCCCTGAGTTTGGTCACTTCTGCCTCGTGCATCACTCTAGACCAGGGGTAGGCAACCTATGGCACGAGTGCCGAAGGCGGCACGCAAACTGATTTTCAGTGGCACTCAACTGCCCGGGTCCTGGCCACCGGTCCAGGGGCTCTGCGTTTTAATTTAATTTTAAATGAAGCTTCTTAAACATTTTATAAACCTTATTTACTTTACATACAACAACAGTTTCGGTATATATTATAGACTTATAGAAAGAGACCTTCTAAAAACGTAAAAATGTATTACTGGCACGCAAAACCTTAAATTAGAGTGAATAAATGAAGACTCGGCACACCACTTCTGAAAGGTTGCCGACCCCTGCTCTAGATAAACGTCACTGACTGCACCCCGGGACATGCTCTCCCTGGATGTTTATGGTAGCGGAACTATTGGGATTCTCTCCCTCACCATCTTGCCTGTGAGCACATGCCAGGAAGCCCCTGATTCTGCTAATGCTGCAGCCGCGGCCGTAGCTACGGATTGGGGCATGTGGAGATCGGCGGGGGGAACTCACCTCTCACTACCACTATCCCAAGCTTCTTTCCCTTCCCTCGCCCGTCTCTTTCCCGCCACGTGAACACTGCGGGTGCAGCACTGCGCTTTGGAAAGGGATGAGGCAGGGTAGGAGCTCTGGGCCTGAGCGAGTCTTGGGGAGTGGCTGACTCTGGCCTCCTGGGGTAATAAGAAGCATCTGTGCCTGAATCCCTCCTTCTCCTGAGAACGTGTTCCTACCTGAGGAGGGTACTGGGCCTGGCCTACGCGCCCACAATCTCACAGTGTGTCTCTTTCCCTTTCACTACAGCCAGTGGCTGGCTTACAGCAAGCTCTACCAGAACTTAGAGTTCAACTGCAGCTGCCTGCTCCACCAGATCACCAGCATCGAGTACCAGTGGATCCAGGAAAGGCTGCGACCTGAGCAGGTATGAGCGGACACCACAGCCAAGCTTGGGGCAGAGATCCGGGGAGTGGGGGCAGCCTCCGATAAACCACAACAGCCGAGGGACCCTCTTCACGTCATCTCTCTCGGCTCCTTGTTGGATGGTTGAGAAATGCCGCAAATTGGTTCTGCTCGGGTGGGAGCCCCCTGCAGAAGGAGTTAATGGCGCATGCCAGCTAGGTGAAAAACCTGACGATGGGCTAAGGAGCCACTGCCGACGCCTCAGAATACAGACCGTCTTTAAGATCGTGTCATAATCTAGAAATCAGATTGAGGTGGTTCTGGGTTGCTCTTCTGTGAGTAGCTTCAGCACCTTCCTAGGAGGATGGCGTTCCTACGCGGTTTCCTTTGCAGGGAACAGATCATGCTAAAAAAACCTGCTTTAAATGCAAAACTCACCTCAGCCTTAACTAGGGAGCCTCTACCAATGCCTCAAGCATCTAGACAGTTTTTAAGATCCTAAAGCAGTCTAGAAATCCGTTCAAGGTGATTCAGTTTTGCTTTTCCCCCTCACTTCCGAGAGGCTGCTGGGAGTAATTTCAGTGCCTCCCTGGCGTTCCTTAGTGCTTCCCTTTGCAGTGGGGCAGATAATTTTTAAAATGGTTTTGGAGACAGATGCATCTTGCAAAATCCAGAAATAGCCCCCCGCAGCAGTGAGGCCGTGTTGGCTGGGGACAGGCGTTGTCCACCTGAGGTGCTGTGACCATCACAACGTCGCTGTCGCCGCTGATGCGTCTTCCATTTCTTCTTCCCAGAAAGCAGAGCTGGCCGAATCTTTCCAGTCCTTGCTGGCCTATGGAATCTCTCTCCTCCAGAAATACCGCAGTGTCTTCCCGCTCTCTTCCCCAACGTCCACGCTCAGGCTACAGTCGTTGCTCAGGTCAGCCAGCTGCAATGCTTCATAAACAGAATCATGTCAATCAGAGAAGAAACAACCCCCCCCCGCCGCATCGTCCTGGGGCTAGTGTGGGATTGTTCCCTATGCTACATTATCCAGTCTACCTTTTGACACCCCATGTATTGGAGCTTCTATTACTTCCCCTGAGGAGACTGTTCTACAGGAAAACCTCTCTCCCACTTCCATTCCCAGCTCCCTTCGTTGTCTCCTCTCCTCTGCCTTTCCCTGGCGGGTCTGTCCCCTAAGGAAGTAGACAGACATCCAGGGACCTCCCCCATTGTAAACCGGCATCTTGTCATTTCTTCCTGTGATGCCTAGAGAGTATTCCCTCCTGGGTGTGCATTGACTGGGTTAAATAGAGGCCTTTATGCTATGGGATAACACTTTTCTCTGGAGTTTATGTAACTCCCCGGTCAATTCCTGTTACAGGTCCCCTCTGCGGGGGAGAGATGAGTCTGTTATAGCCCCCCTAAGGAGGTTTGATCCTTTAGTGCAACCTGTAGCGGCTCATGCTTTTAGTTCTATAGGTCCCCAGTTCATCCCCTGGTGTGTTGGCCATGAAGGCAGCTGTCACACTGTGATGGCTTTTGTTCGTTTTAACTCCAAACCATCCCCTTTAACCTCTCCTGCCCCAAGGTATTTCTCACCTCGTGGGAGGTGAATTTGGGCTCTGGGCCATAAGTCCTGCCAAGCTCAGAGCCCTGATGAAGAAGTCTTAGCATTCGGTCCTCTCCCAGGCTGCCAGCATAGGAACATGTCTGTCCCTCTGTCTGTGACCTGGCAGCTAGGCCATAACTTACAGGGAGCCTCTCACTGAAGGATGCTCTACAGAGGAAAGTGTGCGTGGGGAGATGTTGCTGTTGCTGGTGGCAAAGCTCTCGTTTCTGAAGCTCTTTGGGTTGTGCCGTGGCTTAGCAATGATTCTCACTTCACAGGGTCCTGGTCCAGATGTGTAAAATGAAAGCCTTCCAAGAACTTTGTACTCTGACCCCTAACCTTCAGCAGATGGTGATGGAGGCTCTCAAGGTACAGTACCATCTCCTCCCCCAACCCATAGGGCAGTGGTTCTCAACCCACGGCCCGCAGGCTGCTTGCAGCCCAATCAGCACACAGCTACGGCCTATGTGACATCCTCGGGAACATACAGGTAGTACATATATTGTGTGGATGTGGTCCACATAATACATAGAGAGCTGCATATGCGGTCCACACTGTTAAATAGGTTGAGAACCACTGCCATAGTGGTTCCTCTGACTTCCTCCTGGAGCCACGAGCATTGTCCCTTCCCCTATGCCAATGTGCAAAGGCCTTGAGTCCTGACCCTGATTCCAGCAGAGGGGGCGGGAGGTAGCATTTCCAAAGCTTGTCCGCACTGCGCCTTTGACTGCCCAGTGGGACCCCTCTAGAGAAGTGCAAGGCGCTCCTTTCCCTGCAGGACAGAGCCTGGAGCCTGGATGGTGAGCTCTGAGTCCCGCTCCCCACTGTGCTGTGTGTCTCTGGGCTGCCAGCCTGACCTGCGTTCCACCCTAAGTCACAATGAAAGCGTTGTGTTGTGTCTCTGCTGTGCCAGGGTGAATGGGGTGGCTGGGTTGTCTCTATAGCTCCTGCTTCTCTCCCCTCATTCTTTGTCCCGTTCTCTTGCAGTCAGGAACCACTGAGTGGTTTTATATGCAGAAGCAGCACCTGAAGCCAATGGTGAAGGTCAGATCCCCCTTTCATTCATACACCAGTTTGCTGGGCTGGGCTGAGGGGCCGTTCGGGTAGGAAGAGGGAGGTGACGCTTTCTCAGGCCACAATTTTCAGAAGTGGCCAGTGATTTTTGGATGCCCAAAAGACACCCTGAGCCCAATTTTCAGAGGTGCTGAGCAACTGCAGCTGGGGTAGAAGGCAACCGACTGTCCCCATAAGAAGAAACGAACAGTTGCCATTCACCTCCGGTCCCCTCCCTTCCTGTGTGTCAGTCTGAGCAGGCCACTCCTGCTAGCTTGACACGTCTCCCATTATAACACGGAATGGAGCAGCCACCCAAAGAATGGCCCTTCTTCACTTGGCAGCATGGCCTTGTGGTTAAGGCACTGTACTAGCATGGTAAAGATCTGGGTTCAATGCCCAGCCCTGCTACATATTTACTGTGTGATCTGGGGGAAGCTACTTCACCACTCTCTGTGCATCAGTTCCCCAGTGGGGTAATGATATATCCCTACCTCTGTGAGGCATGGAGAAGATAAATCTGTGAGCTGCTCAGATACAACAGTGGTGAGGGCTGTCACTAGATATGTTGATTCATCACAAAATCACTTGGCACCAAAACCAAGGGGTGTCTTTCCATCCTTCCCTTTGCAGACCATGGAGGAGAATGGGAAAGCACTGGTCAGGCTTCTCGTGGAGGTGAATGGGGATCTCGAACGATGCTACAAAACCTGGAACAAATTCTTCACCAAGTAAGTAGATGGTTCCCCCATTCCTCTCAGCATCTGCCCCATGCTCTCTCAGCAGCTTTGCTTAGGGCACTGAAGGCGACAGCTCCAAACCACATTTCCCAGCTGCAAAAGAACATTGTAAATATAAACAGATTGTGACACCAAGTATGAGACTGGAAAGTCCCGGGAAACGTTCCCTCATGGTTTGTTTTGTACTACAGTTGCCTGTTGTTGTTTAGGGAGCAGAGGTTAACTACAAATGTCCTCGCTTTCCAGCATTACTGGCTCTGCCGGCTGGAGTCTTTCAGATTGTTTTAGTTTTGTAGCTTTTTGTCACTCTAGTTCATGTCCAAGGGCTCGGGTGGGAGAGGGTTAATTGCACTGGCTTTGACAGGTTGGTCAGTGAGTTATATCCGGCAGATTCCTGACCTCCTGTTTCTCCCCTGCAGCACTGTGAAGGTGGATCTCTTCTCCATTGCCTACCTGGAGCTACAGGAGCTGGTGAGCACGTGTTCCAGGCTCTCCAGTCAGAACAGCAGAGAATAAAGCAATGCCGAGGCACTTAGCCAGCTGTCAGAGGGAGGGAAGTATATGAGGTGCCCCCCTGCACTCCATGTGCTCCTCAAGGGCTCATGGGAAGTGATCACTAGTGGTGGAGAAACCTTTGTATTCCAAACCCTGGATATGGGACCGTGGGCATCCTTGGGTTGTGAGGGAGGGACTAATCCTGTCCTCAGCCCCAGAGGCCTGGACACTGGGACTAGCCAGGAGTTTAAGAAAGGCAGGTGTAGGCAGTGCAGCCTAGTGGCTAAAGCAAAGGAGTAGCGACTCCTGGCTTTGATTCCTGGCTTTGCAACTGAGTCAGTTGCAAGTCTGTAAATTGACCAAGTCGCTGAAATTCTCTGGGCCCATAAAATGGGGATAAACAGGTTTGGGCTGTATTATCTGAACCCCCCGAGCCCTCAAACAGCTTATACATCAGACAAGAGGAAAGTGTGTTGTATCAGCTAATTGGGATGGCACATTTCCTTTCCCTGATCCCATTGCAGGGCAAACATTCATAGATCCCTTCTTATTAACCCTCCTACCCTCAGCGCCTTCCCTGCGGTTCCCTTTCCCTGCAGGTGTCATGTCACGTCAAAGAAGAGCTGAGTGAGATTGACAGCAGCATGTCCCAACTCACAGCAGAGAGCCTTTTCCAGCTCTACATAAGCCTGCAGGAGCTTTATCGGATGAAGAGCTTTCTGTTCAAGAGGTACTGACCCACCTGAGCCAGCCTCAGCTCAGAGTCCAGTCACACAGAGCGAGATAAACATTAGCAGCACCAGGGAAATGGAAGGGGTTGGGACCACCTCAGCGGCTGACTTTCTGCTGGACCAATTGGAGTAGATCTGAGTGGAATCAGAAGGTTCGCTGGTCCAGCCCCCTGTTGCTTTAGATTAGTGCAGTGACGACATAAACAAATGCAAGACCATGTGGGGGTTTTAATGTAACCTGCACCTGCCACGCTTCAGGCATGACGCTGAACAGGCCTTCAGAGAGCTAGAGCTCCAGGTATAGACAAGTGGGGTTCTGGGAGGCAGAGGCAGCTACATACATGGCTCAGATAATACTTTAGGCTGCTCTTCTGCCAGCCTATGGATCTCTGTCCTGTGTTGCCAGGTGGGCAGCTGTGCAGTGTGTGCTGTGAACGCTGCCTTCTCAGGTATTTTTCAGGTCTTAGTGGAAGTGGAATGTGTAGCCTCCTGTCTTGGTTCTGCTGCAGCACAGAAACCAGTCGTGTGTCTGTATTCCCAGGGATGGCCCCCTTGCTCTGACTGACTTCCACCAGTGGTTTAAGGAAGCCATCCCCAAGTGGCTCCAGAAGACCTACATGATAGCGCTGGAGAGGACCCAGAGAGCGATCCAGGTGGACCAGGTAACAGTGAGATTGCCACAGAGGGAGAAACTCTCCCCAGTCTTTCTGAGGCTCTCCAGCTTTTGTCATTGTCTGACCCATCTTTCACTTCCAGCCCATTCTTTTCCCCCAAGACTCCCCCCTGGCTACTATGTGAAATCCTAAGGCCTAGCAGGTTTTGGGACCCCTACAATATCAGTCTCCTGCACCCCGACAATCCCCTCCCCCTGTGGAAAGCCATTGTGGCAGGCAAGCCCTCATGAGGGGCACAGGGGTGACAGATGGAACCTGCCTTTCCTTTAACAGCTGATCCTTCATACCCCAGGGCCCTTGCTCTCTGTGCTCTCCGAAGCCCTGTCCCCTCACAGCATCACGTCCTTGCTGACCCTGTTGTATTCTCATGGCTCCGTGGTAGCCTGTGTGAAGCGTGTTGATGAGCCTCTGCTTCGTTCCTTGTCACAAGCCGCAATTGGCTCCCTTTGTTGGCAGTCTCAGCGGAGAGGCCAAGGATGGAATGAACCTTGAAGGGGAGAGACCCAGTCTCCTTTAGTCTGGTCCTGCCAGGGCGGGTGAGGCCTGATGGGTGGCAGGACAATGTGGGGGAAGCCAGCGCCACCTCTGCCTGTGTTGCACCTACCTTACGGGCAAAGAGCTTCACAGTCCAGGTGTCCCCCCTGTGCTGCCTTCCCTCACTGAAATCAACGGGGCTCAGCCTCATGGAGGGACCCATGTGACCCCAACTGGATAGATGCCCTGGCAAGAGAAAGCACCATTAACTCCTCTGCCACGGCATGCTGATGCTGTAGCCAAGAGAAAACCGTCAGGTCCCAGACCAGTGACCTGGGGGGAGCAGAGGAGGGGAAGGGTCAGGGGGAAGGTGAATAAGGGGCCACTTTGCAATAAGAGCTGGCTTTGGAACTAGTTTGTTGGTTTATTTGCAAGTTTCTCAGTAAAATGTTTTTTTCTGTCACCACCCACCCAGCTGATGCCCCTGGGGGAGCTGAATAAACACAGCACGTCCACTGTTGACCTGTCCACGTGCTATGCTCAGATTGTTAAAACCTGGCAGCAGCTGGACTGGCCGGACCCAGAAGAAGCCTTCATGATCATGGTGAAGTTTGTTGAGGTGCGTATAGTCGGACAGTCTAGCTGGATCAGTAATAGCAAGTTGTAACTATGCTAAGAAGAGGTGATCAAATGTCATGCTTCAGAGCATCAGCCGCAGGGGGTCAGGAAGGAATTCCTCTCCTACCCCTATACACATCGGCCAAGTGCTTTGGGTTTTTTAATCCCTTTCTCTGAAGCATCAGACATAGGTCAGTCTCAGAGACAGGGCTTCAGAGAGAATGGCCCATTGGCATGATCTGGGGTGGTAAAGCCGACATCTGCCCCCAGCGCAAACCTGTGCAGTGTTCTGTCCACTGTGCGTTACCCAAGCTCACTGCCTTTTGCCCTATCCCCTAGGACATGTGTAAAATTGCTCTGACATACTGCAAGCTGATCAAGACCCGGGCGGAGGAGCTGTCATCGAAGCAGCAGGACGAGGGGGATGCAGCCAACAGGGTGAGTGTCAGTGCCGGCCTCTGCTGGAAATTCAGGGAGATGAGAGGGATTGGGAGGCTGTCCAGGGAGCCTCTAGAGAGCGCATGTGGGGTGGGGGCGGGGGGTGGTCTGTGACCAGAGCGCGGTGATGGGGGTAATAACATCCCAGCCTTTGTTCCCTATAGTCCTATTTGGGGAGTGCATTGGCAGGCGAGTGGCCCAAGTTCTGAAGGGAGTGAATTGGAACTGAGGGGTTCTGTGCAAGTCCTGGGACATTTTGGGATGGAAACGCTCATTGATCTCTTGGTGGGGGAACCAGGGAGGAAGGATTGCTCAGTGGTTAGTGCTAGCCTGGGATTCAGGAGACCTGGCTTCAATCCCCTGCTCTGCCATGAATTTACTGGGTGACCTTGGGCAAATCACTTAGCCTTTCTGTGCCTCCCTGGGATAACAGCACTGCCCTGCCTCACAGATGTGCTATGAGGATACATACATTAAAGATTGTGAGGGGCTCAGATACCACAGTAATAGGGGCCAGATAAGTACCTACAAGAGCTGGATGGCTCCTGCGTTCACTGCCCTGCTCCCAGGATCCATCGGGACCATAATCCCACTCACCAGCTTTCACCTGCCTGCAATGTCTCCTACGCTGGCCCAACCTTCAGCATGATTGCACTCGGTGTCTCATAGCCACGGCCAGCTGGGGCCAATTTATAATATATGGAGATATACCTATCTCATAGAACTGGAAGGGACCCTGAAAGGTCATCGAGTCCAGCCCCCTGCCTTCACTAGCAGGACCAAGTACTGATTTTGCCCCAGATCCCTAAGTGGCCCCCTCAAGGATTGAACTCACAACCCTGGGTTTAGCAGGCCAATGCTCAAATCTTGGTGGGGGAGAAGGGGATGGGACTGAGCTGCAGAGCTTGCCTGTTGCACATTTAGTTACAGCCTTGTCCAATCAGAATGCAAGGAAATAAATGCCCAGCTGTGGTCGTGCATGGGAACTGGGTGTCATCCCTGCCCTCTGATTAGCTCAGACAATTCATCATAGTGTGATCTTAAAGTACAGGTCTGGAAGTCAGGTATCTGGGGTCTGGATCTGCCACTGGCTTGGGCAGGAGCCTAATAGTTCTCTGCTTCACTTTCCCCAGTTGTCTGTGCTGCTGGACACGGCTTGTGTCCAGCAGGTGTTTGTACCAGGCTGCTCATTGCTGTCCCCTGGGTGCAGGGTGCCTTTTGCGATGGGCCTACGGGGGTGGACCAGGGGGAGCGGGCTGCGGGCAGCGAGGTTAGTGCGTGTTCACCGACGTGGGACTTTTCCTCTTCCCTCCCGCCCCAGCTCTGCATCGTGGTGAACAATGTGGAGCAGCTGCGGCTGCTGATCTTGAAGCTGCCGGCGCAGCTGGACTGGGGGCGCCTGGAGCAGCGAATGGAGGGCATCGTTGAGCCGGAGCAGATCCAGCACACGCTGCACAACCAGCTGCAGGGCACCATCACCTGTCTCGACCACGAAATCAGAGACGTGGTGCAGAACCTGGCAAAAAAGGTAACCCCCCAGCCTGGGCTAAAGGTGAAGACTCAGTCAAATAGGGTCAGATCCAAAGCCTATTGAAGCCAATAGAAATATACTCATGGGCTCCATTAGCTGCTGGGTCTGGCCAATAGAGACGCCAATAGTATGGAGCTAAGTCTTGCCGGCTCTCTCCCTGGGACTGCCCTGCTGTCAGAAGGGACCCAGTCCAATGACGTGTGGGAGGCAGCAGGGCACAGCCCGCCACTCCCAGCTGCTGGGCTGGGTGGGCGGCCTCGTTCGGGAGGGAGATCAGGGACTCTGGTGCCAGAGGCAGATGCGGCTGGGTGATGAAGGGGTTGAGCTCTAAGGAGCTGGCATGGCAGGTTCTCCATCAGAAACGTCGGGCATGGGGGGGAGGGAGGGGGGGGGCGCAAAGCCAGAGTTCTAAGTGTGTGTTTCTTTGGCAGCTGGATGTCGGGATCTCCAGGCACATCCAGAAGCTGGCGGCCTCCAGTGACTCTAAGGATCCAGAAGATGTAGGTGCCAACTCCTGATATGTGCTGCCTGTGGGAGATAATCAGCCCAGGGACAGCATGGCTCTGCCCAGTGCCCTGCGTGTCCCGGTAGCCCACGCGCCGTGAGGGATGGCCTAGGAATACCCAATCCTGCCTCAGCGTGGGGTGGATGGGTTGACTCTATGCTTACGTGTCCACCTCGGTGCCCGGCTGCTACGCCGAGGGGCGCCATAAAAACCCACAATAATAATTGTCACGGGCAGTTTATAGGGAGGAGTTCCCCTCCCTCCCACCCCAGCAAAGCTGGGAACTGCTGCTAGAGGTTTGCATGCCCTACGGTGCCTCACCCCTCCCTGCTCCGGGCCAGCCTGGCTCCTGGGGGAAGCGAGAGGCACACACTGTTTGCTGCACGGCTCCGAACTGTACCGGCTCTTTGGTAGACTCCTTGCCAGGCTCCCCGGCACAGGCAGTATCAGGAACAGGCCTGTGTCTAGGTCTAGGGTCTGTCCCCGCCCTTCATCACATACCAAGTGCAAGAGGCCCATCAGGGCCCTCCTCTGCTGTACACACAGCACCCCCTGCTGGCTCCTGGCTGTAACTCTCCACCTCCTCCCCACTCAGGCTGTGCCAGCCCTCTTACCCCGCCCCCCATGTCTTTGAGAGATCATAGGGGTGCACGCACACGCAAACACACATGTGCGTACACACACACCCTGCATTGGTCAAAGTGCAGCTTGGGAGCCAAGAGCGGCAGGCCGAGAGTTCAGTGGGATGGGATCATGGGGGAGGAGTCGGGGGTTGGTGCTGTGACTGGTGGGTTAGGTGTATGTGGTGGGGGGAAGCCAGGTAGGTCTATGGCTGTCACCAATCCAGTTATACGCTCTAGGTAGCACAGAGAATCCAGGCACGGGGAGTGGGGGGGGGAGTTACCACACCCAGAGCCCCCTGTCAATGTCTGCTGCTTCCTGGCAGACCCAGCCCAAAGGCGCACAAGCTCTCTCCAAAACAAGAGCCACACATGCAACTCCAAGCCTCCCTGGAGCAGCCCCAGCTCCACTGCAGGGTCAGGTGGGCACAACAGAGTAGGAGGCAGGTGCTGGGTGGCACAGCTGAGCTCTCAGGCTGGGAAACGGCAGAGGGGCCCAAAGAGCTTGGGAGCTGCTTGGCAAAGAAGTTCCAGATGGAGGCAGGGCCTGAGAAACCCCTTCCCCATTGAGTTTCCTGACTCTCCTCTCCACAGTCCATCATTCCCCTAATGAAGTTCCTGGAGTCGGAGCTGCAGTACATGAACCAGCATCTGGTCCAGGAGAACTTTAACTGGTGAGCTGCGGTGTTGGGACCACAAGGGTCAGCCGTGGGCTGGATGTGGGCGGGGGGGAGTGTTCGATCAGCACCATTAGCCTAGAGTCTATTGCTGTGGACCGGACCAATGGATTCACTGCAGTCATGGCTCTTTGCACACAGCAGTTCCCTGTAGGGTGCTTTCTCCGCTGCTATCATGTCTCTCTTCTCCAGGAACTACGCTACCTTATATAGAGCCTTCTATCCCTAAAGATCTCAAAGCACTCTGCAGACCACATATATGGAGATCCTTCCCCCACTGCTGAAATGCAACCACATCTGGGGTGGAATGCGGCAGCCTTTCTAGTCCAGAATCACTGCACACAACAGGCTTTTTGAGGGGGATTTCAGGCAAAGGGAATATACTAACCACAATGTCCCAGCCAGCTTACCACACAGGAAACACCCCTGCAGTTGTGAAGAATACCATGGGATCTTTGATCACCACAGTGCTCTGGGCCTTCGTTTTAAGTCTATACCCCCAGGATGCCGTCTCCAGCACCATGGTGCTTTCCACCACTGTACTGGGCTGTCAGCTCAGCACTGAGCCGAGGGATAGAGTGCTACCTCCTCACTTACTGTCACTTCCCACCTGCCATGCTAACCTGAGAGACATTTATGGGGAGCTGTCATAACTTCGTGGCTAGCATTGGATATAAACTGGCTGTCAACAAGTTTAGGCTCAAAATTAGATGAAGGTTTCTAACCATCAGAGGAGTGAAGTTCTGGAACAGCCTTCCCAGGGGAGCAGTGGGGGCAAAAAATGAACTGGTTTCAAGACGGAGCTTTAGAAGTTTATGGTGGGGATGGTATGATGAGACTGCCCACAATTGCATGTGCTGATCTGCAACTGCTAGTAGCAAATATCCCTAATGGCTGGTGATGGGACCCTAGATGGGGAGGGCTCTGAATTACTACGGAGAATTCTTTCCGAGGTGTTTAGCTGATGGGTCTTGCCCACATGCTCAGGGTCTAACTGATCAGCATATTTGGGGTTGGGAAAGAATTTTCCCTCGGGTCAGATTGGCTGAGACCCTGGGGGGGGGGTTCACCTTCCTCTGCAGCGTGGGACATGGGTCACTTGCAGGTTTAAACTAGTTTAAATGGTGGATTTTCTGTAACTTGACAGCTTTAAACCATGATTTGAGGACTTAGTAACTCATCCAGAGGTTAGGGGTCTATTGCAGGAGTGGGTGAGTGAGGTTCTGTGGCCTGCAATGTGCAGGAGGTCAGACTAGATGATCATGATGGTCCCTTCTGACCTGAAAGTGTATGAGCTGAGGCCATCACCCCAGTTTGCAGTGTATGGGCTATTACTGCAATAGATAGTTCTATTCTACTGCAGTGGAACCAGCCTGTGCTCCGCTTGCAATAGAAGTATGTCCCAATACACACACTGACACTTTTCACTTCCCCTCCTCCTTTCCTGGCCTGGGTTTCTCTTCACTTAGGTCTTAGCTAAGACCAACAGCTTCATGTCTCCACTGAGGCATTAGGGTTTTTCAGCCCAGGGACTGATAGTATCTGCTGTGCTGCACTGGCCTTTTTAGAACTCGCTGTGTGCTGGAATCCATTCTCTGCCTTTCCCCCACTCACTACAGCCTCCTGGAGCTGCTCTGGAACCACATCCTGAATGAACTGACAGCTGCAGCCAACCAGCAGCAAAATTCCTCCAGGTACTACAAGAAGCTGAAGTTCGCCTTGCAGGTAGGTAGCACCTGGCAGCAGAGCATGGGGCAGAGGCCTGGCTTCGGGGGTCTCCATACAGCAAATAACTGTTCACTCCTCTCTGGTTCCCATAGAGCCTGGAGCTCTGCTTTCACGCTGAGGGCTGCGGGCTGCCAACGGACGCCCTGCACATGCCAGCATTCATGGTAAGAAGCTCCTGCACCTGTCACAGCTGGCTCTAGCAGAGTGATCTCCCAGCCAAGGAGGGAGCCTGCACGCCCACAAAGCTGCTGGAGCTCTAAGCTTTCATTGCACGCCCTAGTAAATCGCTAGCCCTTTCCCTTGCAGGGACAGAGCTCAGAATACGCCCCTCTCATCAGGGAGATATCTTAAAGGAGTGGCGGGAACTGAAGGCCATTGTGGAGAAGCTAAATGAATTCTTTGCATCAGTCTTTGCTGCAGAGGATGTAAGGGAGATCCCCCACACCTGAGCCATTCCTTTTAGGTCACACGTCTGAGGAACTGTCCCAGACAGGTGTCAATAGAAGAACAAATTAATCAGTAATAAGTCACCAGGGCAGGATGGTATTATCCCAAGAGTTCTGAAGGAACTCAAATATGAAATTGCAGAACTACTAACTGAGATATGTAACCAATCGCTTAAATCAGCCTCTGTACCAGATGACTGGAGGGTAGCTAATGTAATGACGATTTTTTTAAAAAGACCCTAGAGGTGATCCTGGCAGTTACAACCCAGTAAGCCTAACTTCAGTATCAGGCAAATTGGTTGAAACTACAGTAAAGAACAGAATTATCAGACACACATAGATAAACGCAATACATTGGGGAAGAGTCAACACGGCTTTTTGTAAAGGGAAATCACGCCTCACCAATCTATTACAATTCTTTGAGGGGGTCAACGAACATGTGGACAGGGTGATCCAGTGGGTACAGTGTACCTGGACTTTCAGAAAGCTTTTGACAAGGTCCCTCACCAAAGGCTCTTAAGCAAAATTGGGAGTCATGGAATAAGAGGGAAGATGCTCTCCTGGATCAGTAACTTGATAAAAGATAGGAAACAAAGGGTAGGAATAAATGGTCAGTTTTCACTGTGGATAGAGGTAAATAGCAGAGTCCCCCAAGGAGCTGTACTGGGACCACTGCTTTTCAACATATTCATAAATGATCTGGAAAAGGGGATAACCAATAAGGTGGCAAAGTTTGTAGATGATATAAAATTACTCAAGCTAGTTAAATCCAAAGCTGACTGCGAAGAGCTAAAAAGGGACCTCACAAAACTGGGTCACGGGGCAAAAAATGGCAGATGAAATTCAATGTTGATAAATGCAAAGTAATGCATATTGGAAAATAACTTCATCCCAACTATACATACAAAATGTTGGGGTCTAAATTAGCTGTTACCACTCAAGAAGGGTCTTGGAGTCATCGTGGCTAGGTCTCTTAAAAACATCTTCTCAGTGTGCAGCGGCAGTCAAAAAAGCTAACAAAATGTTAGGAACCATTAGGAAAGGGATAGATAATAAGAGAGAAAATATCAGAATGCCAATATAAATGCATGGTACGCCCACACCTTGAATACTGCATGCAGTTCTGGTCTCCCCATCTCAAAAAGATGCATTAGAATTGGAAAAAGTATAGAGAAGAGCAACAAAAATGATTAGGAGTATGGAACAACTTCCATATGAGGAGAGATTAAATATTGGGACTGTTCAGCTTAGATAAGAGACAACTAAAGGGGGATATGTTCGAGGTCTATACAATCATGACTGGTGTGGAGAAAGTGAATAAGGAGTGTTATTTACCCCTTCACATAACACAAAAACCAGGGGTCACCCTATGCTATCAGTATGCAGCAGGTTTAAAACAAACAAAAGGAAGTACTTCTTCACACAACGCACAGTCGCCCTGTGGAACTTGCCGGGAAGGCTGTGATGAGGTTCAAAAAAGAATTAGATAAGTTCATGGAGGGTAGGTCCATCAATGGCTATTAGCCAAGATGGTCAAGGATGCAACCCCACGCTCTGGGTGTCCCTAAAGCTCCAACTGCCAGAAGTGGGATTGGATGACCGCGGATGCATCACTCGACTGTCCTGTTCATTCCCTTTGAAGTGCCTGGCACAGGCCACTGTTGGAAGACAGGATACTGGGCTAGATGGACCATTGGTCTGACCCAGTATGGCCATTCTCATGTTAGAATGTTTCCACTGAAATGTTCCCAAGGTGGCAGTGATGGGGCAGGCGCCGATGAGCCTGCAAAGGCTACCAGGGGCTGTCTGCTCCTGCAGAGGTTGGCACGGTCATGGGAAGAGAATGCCCCTCGATCCCCTCCCATCCTAAACTTCCTGGTGGCTTCTCACTGCTGCTGCTCTCCCTCTCAGGGACTTCAGGGTTCGAGTTCAGGTCTGAGAGCGCGGATGTGAGTGCTGATCTCTGCTGGCATGTGTGTATCTGCTGGCCTGAGTGTCTGACTGGGTGTATTTCTCCTCTCACCCCCCGTTCTCTCAGGATTTGGAGGAAGGGCTGAAGCTCCGCTCCACCACGAGCAGAAAACTCATCCAGAACTACTTCAGCGAGAGAATCCGAGAGCAGGTGAGAGCGTGCTGAGCCTGGCCTCGCCCTTCCCAATAAAGCCCCATTACCTTGCCCACCCCCATTGGGTTGTCCCCTCACTTCACTCCTCCATAGTCACAGGTAGGAAAGTGGTCATGATAGGGTTAACTGGGCTACCTAGTGAATTATGGGATGGAGCCATGCATCACACCCACCCACCCACTTCCTTTTTAGTCAGTGGGAATCCTCCCCCCACCCCCAGTTGTGATCCAGTTAAATTAAGCAGCAAGTTACCAGCCTGCAGTCCTGTGATTGTGAGTAAACTTATTTTGTTGCATTGAACGGTCCCTTTACAAAACACGACCCTTCTGTTTGTATTTCCTTGTATAAAGTGGGCCTGACTGGTACATGTTGTTCTCCTGTTACACTGCAATAAAACACCTGTGGCTGGCCCGTCTCAGCTGACTCGGGCTCACGGGCCCAGGCTGTGGGGCTATAAAACTGCAGTATAGACAAGCAGGTGGAACCCGGGCTCAGGGACCCTCCTTTGTGGGCCAGCATGTGTGTTTTATTCCTGTCCTCTGCTCCCACAGTGCAGGATGGCAGGATCCACTGGGGATGGAGAAAGTGCTACTTAGCCATCCTGAGGGAGGGGGTGGAGTGACAGGGAAGGACAGGTGATTGAGAGTTTAGCGGATGAGATGGGAGAGGAGAGTCACTCCCATGTCCACCTTTCACGTACCTAACCCCAGTACAGACGTGTCGGGATCTCTTTCTCACGGTGATGCCGGCTCTGGGTGCTGTACCCCGATAATGCACCCCTATGCTCACCCCTTGGCAGCACCAGTGATTCACGTAACCGGCGAACTCTTGTTTCTGTTCTGCTCCTCGCGTCCCAGCTGGAGATCAGCTCCGAGAAGTACGGTGCAGTGACCATTAAAGCTCTTTACCGCCCCTCGGAACAAAAGCTCCGCATTGAAGTGCTCAACGCTGTCAACCTCATCCCGCTGGACTCGAACGGTGAGAGCCCGTGGGCCGCGGAAACAGTCAGCACCAAGGTGCCGCTTGTGTCCTGCGCAGCATCAGAGCTGGTGCATGCAGCCGGTGGCTCCAGGGTATGGGAGAGCACTGTCTGCGCAATGACGAAAGCATTGGCACATGGCCTAGAGGGGCCCCTTTGCGGTCAGCTGTGCACAGCGCTGCGTTGTGAGCCCGATACCCCAGGGAAGTTAGTCTGGTCATGACCTGTGAAATCCCCTGTTATCTGCAACATATGCCCGGAGCTCAGCACAGAGCCCAGCAGATTAAGCAGGGGGTCTGGCTCACTTCATAGAACCGATCCCTGTTTGTCTCCACTCCAGGTAACGTGTGGGGTGCACACACAGCAAGGGGGTGGCATCAGACTAGCATACTCCAGAGCCACATGCACACATCCCCTCTTACCTGGCCTGGATAATCTGGGGTGATCGCTAGGGAACAGACTGTAATTCATGCAGCCATCCAGGAGAGGTCACTGCTACTTCACCTGACCGCAGTGGCAGCCCCATTAGTTGATAATCCCACATAGCCAGTTTTAGCCCATTGATTGGAAGAGTCCAGAAGCCATGGGGACGTGTGCCCCCAGCGGGGTTCGTGGAGGGGAAACTGACCTTCAAACCGGAAACTCTTGTGCTGCAGAAGCCCCAGAGAACCAAGCCCGCACTCTGCCCCCTTGTTGTAGCCCCCGAGCGCCCTTGGAGGTTAGATCATGGTGTGGGAGGGAGGGAGGGCGGAAAGCTGCTATTGCGTGGCTTTGCCACGCCAGTGCAGAATAAACAATCCCAGCAGCGCGCACAGCACTGCTCCTTGGGAGCGAGGGGATCCCCTGGCAGCCTTGTGCTCTCTCTCAGTCTCTCCTCCGCCCCCCTAGGCTCCAGCGACCCCTTTGTCCAGCTGACCCTGGAGCCGCGACACGAGTTCCCCGAGGTGGTGGCGCGCAATACCCAGTGCTGGAAGAACGAGCTCCACCCGCTGTTCGACGAGGCCTTTGAATTGTATGTATGAGCAGCCATCCTGGCTGCGTCCCATCGCCTGCTCCCCAGTGGCCAGACCTTCCCTTCCCAACAGGATCTGCTTGCTCCTCTGCTCACCGGGGGGCAGATCCTGCACTGGGGCCTTCTGGGAAGAGAGCCGCATGCGCTCCAGATGTGCTTAGTGCAGTCACAGTTCAGGAGGGCTAAAACTCAGGCTTGTGTGTGCAAAGCCCCGCTGGGTAGGGCGAGCCCAGCCTGGCCTGGAGCAGAGCGCTGGGCCTTCCCTGGCAGCTGAAATGAAACGTACACAGTGCTTTTCTGTCTCTTGGTGGGGCCAGGCCAACATCTGCTAATGTGGAATGCTGGGGCTGTCTGCCCGAGCGGCTCCACGCCCTTGGCTGCCTGCTGAGAGGGGGTCGGGGAGACAGGGGGCACTAAACCAAATCAGCATGAAAATTAGAGGGGTGAGGTTCGGGGGGGCACATTGAACCAAATGGAAAATACCCAGTGCTGTGAGTACTGGAGCAGAGCCGATACTGAGCATGGGGTTCATTTGTTCTCTCCTGATTACCGGCCAGCCCCTGCTATTCACAGGTGGGTTTATAAAGCACAGGACCCCGGGTTCTCCAGCCATAGGCAAGTCACTCACGCTGAAGCTGTGACCGGGCAGCAAGGCCCTACCTGCTCGCTATAACTACTCGAATTGGAAGCCCTTGGGGGCAGGGATGTCTGGGTTTGTAGCGCACCGAGCGCACTGGGGCTCTGGCACTATAAATAATTCCTGTTTGGCTTCCTCTGCCCTGATGCTAAGGGCAATCAAGTTTGGCCCCTTCACTGCCAGCTGGATTTTGCTTCAGTAGCCCCAGGGCACCATAGTATCTGGGCTCCACAGGGTCTGAGCCCCTTGCTTGGACCCGGCTGAGTCTCCGCCTGTTGCTCCTGGCGGGTGGGCTGCCCTGCGCCTGAGAAGGCCTGTGCCTGTCTCTCTTCTCTGCAGTCTGGTCCCTCCCGAGAAATGCCAGCAGGACGGCGCCTGCCTGCTGCTCACGGTATTCGACTACGACAAGGTGGGAGCCAACGACCTGGAAGGAGAAGCCTTTTTCCCCCTCAGCAATGTGCCGGGACTGACCGGAGATGAGGAAGCGGCTGACCCAGCCCGGGTGTCCCAGACCCGGTTACCGCTGATGCACCCCAAACCCACTGGTAGCCTTGCCTTTGTCTCCAGATGCTCCCCTGCCCTCCCCTCCCTGGAGCTGCTTCCCTCGCTGTGCCGTCTTGGGCCAGTGACTTAACCTCTCTGCGCTTGGCGTCCCCAGCTGTGCCACGACAATCCAGTCGCGGGCCCTTCTCCTGTGGCAGGGTGCTCACCTCGGATCTATGCTAGTGCCCTGTTATACTGAGCCTTGGGGCATGGACCCAGCTCTGTGCTGGCCTGGGGGGAGGGACTTAGACGTGTCTCTGCTTTCTGATAGTGGGGGCCCATTGCAGATGGGGCATGCAGGGGCCACCCCTGAGCACACCATAGTCTGTGCTCTAGTGTCACTTTGGGGCAGCTGTAGCTCTCGGCTCGGCCCCGAACTCTGCTACAGCTGAAGCTGTAGCCCCCTCAGCCATGTGCTTTGCTGTCGCTTGGAATCAGCCGTGGGGGCTGAATGTGGGTTTCCTAGGACGGATGCTTCCCTGGAAAGGGGAAGAAGAAGGGCTGGAAAGGGGAAGAAGTCTCTCTGCTCCCCTTCTTTCTAACCCCTGTCTCTCTCGCCTCACTGCAGGGGACCCACTCCTGAAGCTGCTGGAGTCCAGAAAAGGGGACAAGGAGGCACAGGCCTTTGTGAAGCTGCGCAAGCAGCGGGCGAAGCAGTCCAAGGAGAGTGTGTGATGACAGCCGGGCAGGAACCGGGCCAGAGGGGAGCAGGCCTCAGCCACAGTAGCAGGGTCCAAACCACCACGCCAGTTGCAAAGAACTCCATCCAATCCCAGCCCCCGTGGCAGCAAAGAGGCTCCCGCCGAGGAGGACCCTGGGGGGTGAAGCTAGGCTGCGGCAGTCTCTGGTCCCAGCTGTTTGTGGAATTGACCTGGCTTCAGGCTGAGGATGGGGGGAGCCCTGTGCTGCTTCCCATCACAACCCAGCATCAGCAACCTTGGCTAGTCGGCAGCAGCTTGTCAGGTGCCAGCAGGGTGTGTGATGTGCCCCGGCTGCGTACCCCGCAGGCCATGCTGTACTCTGCTCTCCAGGTGGTGCAGGAGGGGGAAATGGGGAGAGGCCAAAAAAAGCTGCAACCAAAGCCATTGGGGGGGTGTTGAAATCTATCCAGCTGGCCCTGCTGGAGCAGCAGCAGCTGTTCGCTCCTGCTCCAGGAGTTGCTGTCTAAGCAGCACGGAGCGTGCAAGACTTCACTAGTGCTGGAGGGAGCAGAGCTGAAAGGGTGGGAAGGGGAGAGCTGCTGTCAAGGGTAAGCGCAGGACTTTGTCCTCGTGCAGCTACTGCAGCAGCCACAGTGGGGAAATCACTAGCACTCCTGCTGCAGAACAGCGCCCCCTTGAATTCATCAAACTCGGCTCTGGGCAGGGGCTGGGCCCTCGGCTTGGGGCCAGGGACTGGGAGGTCTGTGATCTGCTCAGCTGCTGCAGGCAGGTGCAGAGCGGGCGCCCTTTGCCTTAAAGGGACCGTGCCCACGCCTACTTCTCTCCAATGTTTTAGTTACTGTTACAAATAACTAAACTTCTCATAGTGGAAATACTAGGGGGGAGGGGAAAGTGTTCATCTCGTTAGATAGCTTCCCCTCTCTGCTACAAGGAAAAGTAGGTACCACACTGATCTTTTAAATCGCTGGCCCCGGGGCAGCTGCTCCTTTTGCCCCTTTTGCAGCGCTTTAAGCAGGGTCCTTTGCCGCAGCAGCACTTTAACGTCGGCTGCGTAGGGGCCAGTACTGGTGGCCACTTTTTACCGGTACACCATACCAGCCCGTACCGGCCCACTTTCACCCCTACCTTCATCCAGTGATGGCAGGCGACTGGGTCAACGCCAGAGCGACCGAGAGGTGGGTGGAGGAGTCGTAATGGCCCAGATTCACGGTGCCTCTGCTCCCCTTTCGTCCCATGAGGCTCGCACTACCTGGCAGGGTGTGGTGCTACACGTGCTCACTCCAGACATGGCCCACGCGTAAGTCCCTGCATCAGCGTGGCTTTGGGCAGCTCCATTCTGTACTCACTAGGGAAGTGGGGCACTCCAGCTAAGCCTACTTTAAGGTTCTCACAAATAAGCTATTCTTATTTAAAACAAAGCTACAGCCGTTTAACAGCTAACCCCCCGCTGTACAGTAACTGATGCAAGGACTGTAAGGGAATAAGTTTGTGATTGCAGGTCAATGGTTCAACAAAAGTAAAAGCAATAAAGAGGAAACAGCCTCCAGTTAACCTGTGGAACTCTCTGCTGCTGGGGGGACAAAATTATATACACAAGTATGTGATGCATAAGCACAGCAGAGCAGGGATGGGTGCTAAAATGACTAGCCAGGTCAAGGGTGGGAGAAATGGAGAATTTCTATTCCCTGGGCTAGGCCGACATTTTGATGTTTCCTTTTGTCCCTAATCAAAGTGCTCACAACAGTTCTGACAAATTCTATTTAGGAACTATCAACCCAACCATCCAGAAACCTACCTCAGCACCCCACCCCTGTGGACACGTTTTATTTCTATATGGGCCAAGCACTTCATTGTGGTGGTGTAATTTTGACTTACATTTATTTAAAACAAACTCTAACCTAGTTCAGAACAGACAAGTCAAAATTCTGCCACAGGGTTTTGTTAACTTTTCCGCAAACATTGACTAGCCTGCTGGGTTCCTGCCAAACGGTTCCATTGTGTACCACTGGCATGTTTGCTGGGAGGCACATTTTCAAACAGCACCAGTGATTGGGGGCGGGGCCCAGGCGGTTCTTTCCCACACAGCTGCCACACCGCAGCGAGGCCTGTTTGGTTACAGGCCTGAGAGACCTAAGCCCAAACTCATCCAACACCCCACTGGCTTCGGAGATGGAGGCTGCCCTGCGCTCGCTTCCAGAGGCTGTGGGGACAGGAGCTGCAGCACAGAGCCAGTGATCTGCCTTCCCTGCTCCAGGCAGCCATGAGCACACCCTGCAAGTCCTGAGGCCGAGCAGCTCGTGTCCTGGGGTGGGCCGCATGGCTGGGGTGAGGAGGTGGGCGCTGTAATAGCAGCTCCCTGAGCCTGACCCTATGCAGGGCAGGCTATTGCTGTTCCACCAAGCACTAGGTGTGCCCTCTGCCCCACTAGTGCCAGTCCCGCTCTGCCCCCTGCAGGCAGCTCTGTGCTGGGCGGGGGAGCCCACACTCTGGGCAGCAGATCTGAGTCCTTAACCCACTCCTGTAGGTCAGGCGAAACGCAGCGGCAGCCAGCTCCTTGCACCTACACCACCACGGCGCGATGCCCCAGGCCTCGGTCAGGGTCAGCCTGCCACAAATGCAGGGCTTGAGGTGCCTCCCACCTGCATCAGTGTAACTATTGTCCCAGTGGGGGCAAGGGCAGAATCAGGCTTCCTGTGATGTTGAAGTGCTGCATGGAACAGCTAGAACCCATATGGCGGGGGGGGGCATGCTAAAATACACAGCTTGGGAGGGGGGGGCAACAGCAAATTTCCTGTACACGCCTCTCAGCACCTGCCTCTCCCCCAATCCTGGGCAGAAGCCTATGAGCCTATTGCATCAGGGCCTATGTACGTGCCCTGAAATACAGGTACAGGCCAGCAGTGGGAGCAGATTACTTAGGCCTCTGCTCTGGTGCAGACTTGTTGTTTCTAGGGTAACAGACACCCCCAGTTTGGCCTGCTACACCCCCCCCCATGCGCCCCCATGAATCCTGGGGTTTAACCAGCCAGTGCTGCCACAAAAGCTGAACATCACAGAGCAGCAGCGCTGGTTTCAAACCACTTTCCTTGCTCCTGCCAGGAATCTGCTCCCCGTCAGTAAAGTGCCAGGTGGGGTGTGTGTGGGGGGTGTCAGCCCCAGCTGCCAATGCAGCGCCTGGGGGGAGGAGCCAACACAGGGGCACGGCTTGAGGCTCCTGGGCAGAGGCCTGCCTGCCTCTGGCAGATGGTGCAGTACAAAGCACTGAGTGGTGCTCAGCCGTCCCCGGATCTGGCTGACGGGCACAAGCTCAGCCCTGTAATTAGCCTCCTGTGGTGGCGCTCCTGGGCAGGGCTGCCAGGGGTCCGGTTTTTGACCAGCCTGTCCGGTACAGAAGGGACGTCCGGGTACCTGCAGTAACGGGCCTCTGCCACTGGGGGGGGGGGCGGGGGGGGACGACTAGCTGCTGCTCTTCTCACCCCCCACCCCCAAGTCTTACTGGGGGCGCAGGGAGAAGAGGGAGGCGGGCACTGTAACTTGTGTGATTGCCCCCCCCCGCGCCCTGCTGTGCCCGAAGTTCCCTCACCCCGCCCGGCCCCTCGCTCCAGGGCCCGACCCTCCCCACCCGGCTGTGCCCCGAGTTCCCGGCCCCGCGCTCTGGGGAACCCCCCCCCCCGCTGTGCATTCCCCCCCTCCCCCCCCCGGCCTGACCCTACCCGGCCTCCCTGTGCCCCACTCCGCTGTCGGCACAAACTGCTCTCGCTCCGGACGGGATAGGTGGGGCAGGGGCGGGGGCCTCAAATGACGAGATGGGGGCGGGGCCTTGGGGAGGGGCGGGGCTGGGGGTGTTTGGTTGTCAGGGTTTAAAGTTGCCATCCCTACGTGTGGGCGTGACCTGCCCGACAAGCAGCCCTTGCCCCTGGGGATTTCCTCCCTCGCTGCTTTGGCCGCTGCGGCTTGTGTTGTGGAGGAGGGGAGGCCGCGCCAGTGGCTGCCTGTAGGAAAAGCGCCCTGAGGCGTCCATTCAGCAGCCACTAGCGCCCAAGTCACAGGCTGTGTCTTTTCTACTGCTCAGGCCCCAAGGGCCGCTGATGGCACACGCTGTGCAGTCGCCTTTGCTCCAGACAAGGCACTCGGCTCCATGCAGGGATGAGCCCCACAGGTCAACACACCGGTCGGTACCAGGTCCGGGCAGCGCCCCGCCCTTGGCACGAGCAAAGGCCACTCGCCGACTCTTTTGCACTGGCGCCGGCTGTAAGGGGGTCACCAGCCAGCCAAGGCGCGACCGGGCCTGACAGCGCCCTCGTCACAGCATCGCTCAGGGCTGGGGCCAGATGTCAGCGGGCGGCTACGGCCGCTTAATGACTTACTCCAGCCCATGCCCCGTTTCCTGTTGGAAACCTGACCGTGAGCCAGGGCTGCTGAGGTGCAGAACCAAACGTTTGGTGGCTGAGAGGTGGCAAAACCTTAGCTACTTATTACCATTTAAAAATAACGTTGCCCTTGGAGCTACTCCAGGCCAGGAAAGAGGTGAACCCACCACAGAGCTACAGCAGAGGCCATGCAGTGTTATTTTTAGTCCTCTAACTCTCGCTAGGAGCATGGCTTTGGCAGGGACTTTGCCACATTGACTCAGAAGGCTTGGGGGAAAATGTTGGGAGCTGGGACGACACAGGAGATTGGTCTCCCACTCTAAGTGGAAATGGTGACCGGTGTCTCTTGGCCTTCCTGTTACTCAGACAGGCTTGTTACCAACCCCTGCAAACGGTTCACCTAGTAACAGCCCCCATGCCGTAGGTGATGAACACAAGGGGTAATTAAACAATGTTATTAATGATTGCTGCGGCGCAGCCGTGGTGGAGGAGGGAGCAGTTGGCCACATAGTGACTGGATGCCTCTTAGAGAGATTAGCTACTGAACTGACCACCAGTGGCTGACACTAGTGTCAGCAGAGCAGCAGAGAGAGCGGAGACAACCTGGCTGCCTTTTCAGGATGCCGTACGGGTCTTGTGAGTGAAGCTCTCTAGGATCTTTCGTGAGCAATGTGGGCTATTGGAATAGAGGCCAGACCTTCCCAAGGTGACAGACAATTTTGGATGCAAATTAGAGGCATCTTAAACAGCCTGGGGCTTCCTGAAAATTTCAGCCTTCTTAGGGTGTCTCAAGTTGGGCACCAAAAACCACGAGTGACTTTAGCAAATCTTGATCAGCCCCCTCTCATTACACTGCAGTGAAATCCAGATGCAGGGCAGCACCCGTGCTCAGGGTGTGCTGTGCCGGCTCCAAGAGTCACACCCAAGCTAAGTGGCCTGCTGGTGAGCTAATGTTAAGTCTTTGACTTGCGGTGCCCTGAAGGGAACTCAGGCGCTGGGCTCAGGCCGTTTGTCCTGGGGTGCTTTCTTGCATGGCTCCAGCAGGATAAAGTTCAATGCACAAGAGGCGTTTAAATAATAAAAAAGGTAGAGTCTGGGGGAGGGTATGGGAAAGCTGCACGAGACACTCCAGCCCCTAATGCACCGGGGGGCAGGGGAACAGAGAGGCTACATGGGCCCACTCCAACCCCTGACACACCATGGTGGGGATGGGAACCCTGCATGAGCCCCTCCAGCCCCACACAGAGCCAGGACAGATGCTGCAGGGCCCCCAGCTAGTTCCTAACACATATAAGGCCTGATCCAAAGGCCAGTGACATCTGTGTTAAAAATGCATTTTCCAAAGATCTTCATTCTCTCTCTGTGACAGCTGCCATCTTCCATGCCACCAATGTACCCTTATAGTGCCTTTCATTCAAGGATCTCACCATGCTTTTAATGCTATTTCACACAGAAAGTGGCAAATTTGGGAACAGATCCAAGGTCCCACTCCCAGGGTCCTGCTCTAACACTGCCTTTGATACTTTTACTGATTACATCATGGGACCGCTTCTTCACCCGCGCTACGTCTCTTAGGGTGACCAGACAGCAAGTGTGAAAAATTGGGACAGGGAGTGGGGGGTAATAGGAGCCTATACAAGACAAAGTCCCAAATATCGGGACTGTCCCTATAAAATCGGGACATCTGGTCACCCTACGTCTCATTCCTCTTGAAGGAGTTTGAGACCTGATCTCTCAGCCAATCCCATAAATCTGGCTAGTTTGGAGGCACCTGCCAAGAGTCTCATGTGGCTCAGTCATTCCATTGATGGGACTGTCTCAGCCCTGTTACATATTATCGTATAGATACATCTTGATTGTAAACTCTTTGGGGGAGGAATGTGAGCTACAGAGCTGTCTGGGAG